TTGAAAAATTCATGGAGACTGGATCCGTTGGTGACGCCAAACACACTGGTCGTCCAAAAACAAGCCGTTCAAATGTGAATATCGAAGCAGTGCGTGAGAGTGTTGCGGACAATCCAGGAACCTCAATTCGACGTCGTGGACAAGAATTGCAAATGTCAAGAACCTCTCTACAGCGTATACTCACCAAAGATCTGTGTCTTCATGCTTACAAACTTCAATTAACACAACAATTGAAGCTTAATGACCATGCAGAGAGAAGAGAGTTTGTTGAATGGATTATTGAACATCAACAAATGGACCCTGATTTTTCAAGCAAAATCATCCTAAGCGATGAAGCACATTTTCATCTTGATGGCTTTGTCAATCGCCAAAATTGCCGCATTTGGGGTTCGGAGAACCCACGTGTGATTGTCGAAAAAGAAATGCACCCACAACGCGTGACTGTCTGGTGTGGATTTTGGGCTGGAGGCATAATTGGGCCATATTTTTTTGAAAATGATGCTGGTCAAGCAGTGACTGTTACTGGTGCCCGATATCGCGACATGATTACACAGTTCTTTCTGCCAAAATTGAATGATATTGATGTACCCAATATGTGGTTTCAACAAGACGGTGCCACATGTCATACAGCCCGTGAAACAATTCAATTACTGCATGAGACATTTCCCGGTCGTGTACTCTCTCGTTTCGGTGATCAAAATTGGCCTCCTAGATCGTGTGATTTAACACCATTAGACTTCTTTTTATGGGGTTATTTGAAATCACAAGTCTATGTCAACAAGCCCACAACCACCCGTGCATTAAAGGAGGAGATTCAACGCTGCATCAACGAAATTCAGCCACATTTATGCAGAAGGGTCATGGAAAATTTCGACAAAAGAGTGCGCATGTGCATGCAAAGCCGTTGAGGCCATTTGTCCGATGTGTTATTCCATACATAACCCTATCCTATGTACTTTATGAGTCAATAAAAATATAACTATTAAAAGACTAAAAATGGCATTTTCTATTTAATTCAAATCTTGCGTTAATTTTGGGACACCCTTTATTTTGGGGCGAAACGAAGGCGCGAGTATTACAGCGTAGAGGAAGAGGATACCACGGACATTCCACTAACCGCATCATTAACGAATAAACTGAATGCATCTGAAATATCAGCTGACTATAACGAGGAAGTTTTAGTGGAAGAAATGGATGAGCTCCAGTATGAAGGGCTGAAAAATTTGGCCGGCTTTGTTTGCCATAAATTGCAGGATGAAAGGTTTGAAAAGTTCCTCAAATGAAACTTACTCCTGGATAGACCATCTTCGTGAGAGTGGATTATCAAATCCTTCCACAGCTTTCATGAATCAAATTGAGAAGCTTATTAAGGTGTTTACTACATTCAATGGGTCGGAATAGTGACAGAAAAGAAAAATTTTATAGGCAAACTTCTGTTGAAGAGCAGCAACATTGACTGCCCTGAAAAAGCTTTTTATTTTTCAGGTCAAGGATGTTCTTCCGGATCAAAGAGCTAAGTTTGAAAAACCATAAAAATCGTGAAAGGAAATGGAGAAAAATTGTGGCTTAGACTAAGTCATTTCCATTTATTATTATACCGCCAGCAAAAAGATGATAACTCCATTTTTCTACTTTTCGAGTTGCGTACATTTTCACACTTGCATGTAGTTAGTACTTAGGATGTTCTGTGAAATGAGGATGAATAAATGTAGTGCAGTATTAACGTCATAAGCATGTTAATCCTGCTCCACAGAACATACTAAAATATAGGTAATGTAGAAAAATCTTTTTACAGTAAAGTGACGATACACGCTCTATTGTGGAGCTAGACAGCCGTTTAAGCTATAGCCTATGAAATATGAATTACAAGGTTGAAATCTTTTATTAAAATCCGCCATTTTGTTTTGTATAAAATTTTAACGCATCTAGTGTCACTCGCACCGCTAAGATGAATCCAACGACACTTCATATGTGAAAATCCGTCCAGCCGTTTGGCCTGTAGGTGAATATATGCACGTTATCCATATCAACCCAAATGATAATCACTCTCCGCGTGACTTCATGCGCGCCGGCGGACGGAAATCGAACAGCGGAGCATCCGGCACTAGGGATGGCAACGATATATCGATATTTTTTAAAAATATATCGATATATTTGTTTAAATATATCGGCATATATCGATATTTTCATTCAATATATCGTTTATTTTTTCATGTTCCTTGATATGTTAATGATTCAAATCAAATAGGCTCGATTTGGTGTTTGAACGTGCTTTATGCACTTCGAGCGATGATCCGAACACACCCCATTGTGTTACGCGGTACGCCAAATGCGGCTGTCATGTCTTGTGTCAATGTCAACATTTTCAATAAGAATCAAATCCAAGCGAATAACCAAAATTTCAGTGTTATCTGCCGCGGTTATAATATGGTTCAAGATGACACACGGGTTGATGACGTCAGTTACACGAATCGCTTGAACGCGTTGGTCTTAACCGCGGTTTTGTTGCAAGTTGTTTATTTTAGAAAAGCGCGTATATAATCTCTGATTATTTTTATTATCACTTAATAATCGGTGCTTTTTCGTCTACAACTGTATATGGAAAGTTTAAATAAGAAACCTTTCATAATATTCTTGGGAGAAATGTTTTTTTCAGATTTTTTTTTAATGATGGAACCATGGCTTTGTAGCTATGATAACTTTCAATTCTCTAAATTTTTCCGCATGTCAAAGAAAACATTTATTGATTCAGCAGAAATGATGAAAAAGAAATTAGCAAAACCGTATACAGGTGGATATCATCTAGTGAGTTTATATGGCCATATTTTAATATTCTTGTGGTAAATGGCTACACAGGATACTTTGTTAAGCATAGGAACTACATTTAAAGTGTCCCCAACAACCGTAATGAGTATAACTAATAAGGTGCTCCACTTTATGGTAAAACTGAAGTCAGCCTGTATCATTTTTCTCAAAAATGAAGCTGAAGTACAATAACAATATCCAATACCCGGCAAAATTCTAACTTGTCACATTTCAAATAATAACCAGAAATATAAAACTACTCTTGAGTTGGGTAAATACCACAATTTTGCGGTGATAACTATGACATATAACAGCTGATTCGTGACGTCACGGATCTTATAACCAAACTGATAACTACACTCGCTTGAACGGATTGGTAGATACCAACCCAAAATAAATACCGGGAACCGATACTCAAATTTTCAAGAATAACGGGAATAGGGAAGATATATGAACCGCACTTGTCATATCAAATGATTGATTTTATTGATATATATATATATATATACATATATATATATATATATATATATATATATATATACATTGCACAAAAAACGATCGGTCTTGTTATTTCAGATTCAAACAAGGCAGCTAAGTTTAACAAGGAGCTTAAAGCAAACATTTTGCACAACATGCGCCATCTAACCACTCCCGGTTGAACTTGAAACTGTCAAAACGTCGAGAGGAAGGGGAAATTCCATCTGTTCCAGCTCCGGTTCACTACGGGATCTCGCGAAAAAATCTCTAATAATAAGGATTTTTTTGCGAGTCCACGGTGTAGCACAGTGCACTACCGGGAACCGATACTCAAATTTTCGCGAAGAACGGGAATAGGGGAAGACGGATGTGACGCGTCGTCCGAATGTAAAAAAATCACGTGGTACAGGTACCCGTCTAAAGTCTGTGAGGTACTAGCGGGTGCAAGGTCTTATGTCAATTTCATTTAAAAAACAGGCATCTCAATTGAAAATTTGTCTTCGCAGTGCAGAAAATTGAGTTAAATTATTAAATCATAAATGGAGGAACACGTCCACCTGATTTTAAATAACGAGGAAGAAGGTCATCGAAGATATATGAACCGCACTTGTCATATCAAATGATTGATTTTATTGATATATATGTACATTGCACATAAAACGATCGGTCTTTTTATTTCAGATTCAAACAATTCTGCTAAGTTTATCAAGGTGTTTAAAGCAAACATTTTGGGCAACTTGCGCCATCTGACCACTCCCGGTGTAACTTGAAACTGTCAAAACTTCGACAGGAAGGGGAAATTCCATCTGTTCCCGCTCCGGTTCACTACGTGATCTCGGGAAAAAATCCCTACGTTTTTTTCTTTGTTTCTTTTTCTAAACTCCAACATTCTAACACAAACTCTGAGGTCGATTGAGAATAATATTTTGGGATTGTAATTGGACTGATTTGTGCGTATTTCTTGTTCTGGGGGGTGTTCTGTTCTTTGTTTGATAGTTTGAATCAATGGCATTTAATAATGCCTTTTTTGCATTTATAAATGCATTTTTAGCATTCAAAAATACTTTTTGTTGACTATGAAAAGTAGGGAAATACTTATATTTTTAGCTTTTTCCGAGTTTTCAATGTCAAATAAAATTCAATTAACCCATCGTATATAGTATATAACATAACATATTAACTTAAACAAATAATCGATATATTCAAAAATATAGATATTTTCTATCCGATATATCGATACATTGTTTCGATATATCTAATGATTCCATATATGTATATGTATAAAATTTGCCATCCCTGTCCGGCACTCATAGCAAACTAATCCAAACAAAATAATCTTTTCATCAAATTTGGTAGACATATTTGTTTTGTTGATTTTTTCCGTAAGTAAAATATATTAGTAACGAAAAAGAGAAGTTGCTACCTAATAAAGTACATGTGAGAAAAGTTAACAATGAAAAACTTTAAACCTAATTTTCTCGAAATCTCAATTTTGTAAGCACTTTCATCCACCGTGTCTCCAATTGCCCGGCGACATGGCCTTCGAGGTATTTACTAAATCAACTTGCACAGTTAATTTCACCAGACAATATCGTTTACTACACCGTACACTGGCATTTGAGGTGTTCCGCGTTTGAAGTCTTGAAACCATTTTTTTCATTCCTGCTGCATTAACGATTCGCGCAAAACCGACCCAGTTCTCTACCCAAGTGAATAGCGGCGAAAATTTTAAGGACAAAACTTCAATGAAATCCTTTTACATTTTCATTTATTAATATATCACAAAACAAAAAGTGTTTTTCAAAACAGATGGCCACGAAGCCATCCAAACTTATAGTAAATAAATGATTATATGCTACAAACTAGATCATTTTAATCACAGTATAAATAGATAAATACTGTTATAACATGCATATTTTAAACAAGTAATATAGCTTTCGATCACAGACGGTCAACCATAGACAGTTGTTGCATGCTATTTGGCAACTCTGCAGCAAGGTGTAGGCTTCGTCTCAGGTAGGACAATGAATGAAAGCTGAGCAACTCTATTCAGAATTTTAAGGTCTATCGATATATATACGTCAAAATGAAATAAAGTCAATTCTTAGAGAACGTTCAATATCATTTGAAGACTAGTTCATAATTGACAATGTATTAAAAAATGCAATATCATTTTGAACGGCAGAATCCTAAGGAATTTACTAGGGATGCACCAAGTACTACTTTTTTCATAACTCGCTCAGATTAGAGTAACGGTTAATCAGTGGAGCGGCTTGCTCTAGATCAGGGCTGTCCAACTTAATGCGGCCCAAGGGCCACTTCAAAAAAAAATGTAGTTTGGAGGGCCGCATTATAAAATCTTTCTATACAACATTATATGTATTAATGTAAGAATTGTGCATATTCGGTACTTGAGAGTAATTTATACATGTGATGTATACATGACCCGTGAAGCGGGCCGCAAGAAAGGAGTTCGCGGGCCGTATGTTGGACAGCCCTGCTCTAGATTATTTGAGCGACTGTTGCTCATATTAAGATTTTCAAAAGGTCTTTTCATTCTCATAATTGATTTGCTTTTCCAAGAATCTAACGCACCACAAAAAGTCGTGCATCTTAGACATTGTGAGCAGGTTAGTGTATTTAAGATACTTTCAGATTATTTTTAATATAACCGCTAGATATATGCTATCCACTGTGAAATTCAGCAGGAGTTAAAATTGAAACCATATTTTTTGAAACTAAACCTTTGTTTTTAAACTGCTTTTGTGATGAGGTTACAAAAGAAACACAAAGACTCTTCGATTTCGTGGCGGGACCAATTCAGATTTGGGAAGCACTAAATTAAAATTATGTATAAAGATTTTTTCCGCAGAAATATGGGATTCTTATTTACGTTCTGACTTTTTCTGCACTATTTTATTTCGTTTTGTGGTTTGTGTTGTTTTTTGAGAGTTCATATGAAGGATGAAAGAGCAAATAAAAAGTTCGACAAAGTAATACTACACTGGTATTTCAGTTTACCTAGCTATAGTAGATGCTCCAGGCACTTCGTATTTTTAATAAAGAAAACCTTGTACACGGCGGCCAATATATAAAGATTTAAATTCCGCGTCATTTTTGATACACGCATTTCAGTAGGTGACGCAGAAGTAGTTGTTTGAAGCACATGTGTCAAATTCATCATGGGGTGCTACATGATCCAACAACGCGTCAATATTGTTAAAACGTTTTACTTAAATAATGAGATTGTTGCAACGATTCGGAAACTACGACGAGATTTCGGTCGAAATAATGTGCCCACCATTTGTCAGTTGGTGCAGAAATTTAAACAAATAGGTAAAGCTAAAGACTTGCCAAGGTCGGGCCGTGTTCGAACTGTTCGTACTCCGTAAAACCTCTAGAGTTCGTTGAAGTGTAGTGGAGCGCCCTGAGACGTCTACCAGACATCGTTGTCAAGAACTGGGTATTTTTCGCATGTCATTATGTACTATTTAAAAAAAAAAGACTTGCATTTGCGGCCATACAAAATTCAGTTAACCCAAGAACTACATTGTAGTGACCATGAAAGAGCGCTACCGTGATATGGTGCAAAACTTTCTGGCTCCTCAAATCCAACAATTTAACCTGCGAAAAATGTGGTTCCAGCAGGACGGAGCAACTTTTCACACAGCTAGGAAAACAATGAATCTTTTGCGAATAATATTTCTGGGACGTTTAATTTCTCGATTTCGTGATGTCTACTGGCCACCAAGGTCACCGCATTTAACGGCTCCTGCCTTTTTTTGGGGGTTTAGAAAGATAGGGTTTATGTCAACAAACCAAATATTGTAGAGCAGCTGAAGAACAATATGTACTACGGAAGCGATTAAAAGTATTCCTCCCGAAACCTACCAAAAATGGAAAATGTAAATAATCAAGAGGGCTCGGGTTTGCGCGGCTTCTAGAGGAGGACATTTTTCATACATCATTTTCTAAGTTTCAATAAAACATTAAGATGAAAAAAATGGACGTATTTCATTTCACAAATATTCAAAATACATACCAGTCAGTTACATATTGGCCACCCTGTATATAAAAAATAAGCCACGTAAATACCGTAAACACGCTAGCTTACTCGAGAAGACTGTAGATTTTTACTAAAAATCATGCATTTGATACTAACAAAATTATGTTACAACCTTGGCTATTTTTTGTGATTGCGCGTAAGTTTGCTTAGAGATGCATCCCTAGAATTTTCTACAACCAAAACAATAACATATAACGAAATATAGGGTAAATATCTCTAGTTTTCGAACACATTTGCATCAAAAGGATCTGACATCAGAATTCCTAAATATCTAAGCGGACAAAATGGCGAACATTCGCTCAAAATTTCAAGTATGTGGAAATCTATCGAAATTGGCAAATAATCGAATAAGAAAAATTGAAGAATAAAAGACAGAACCATTCCCTGAATGTAAAATATAAGGTATCACAGTATAAAAGTATTGCAAGCAAGATTACATCAAGGGATAATTTCGCTCGCGTATTTTTTATTTTATAACAAATTTAAGAAAGAGATAGTGAGTGAACTCATCCATGCTGATTCACATTGCCATGACTTATATTCAAAGCACCAAGTTCACTTGTGGACTTGTTCAGCTGGTTTAACAGTTCTGTGTTTTCCCTCATGATTTTCCTAATATCCTCGCTCTCCTTTTTATAATTATTAATGCAAGTCTTCAACTTTTGATTTTGTGTACTACTCGAATTTCTTTTAGAAACATTACTGTTTTTGACTTTATCTAAATTATTTTTTATATGTTCTGAATAGTCCAAATTATCTATAGTCAGTTCTTCTTCAAAGTCTCTCAATTTATTTTCGAAAGCATTCACGTCCGATCTTAAAATCCCCATTTTCAGATGAATGTTTTGAGCTATTTTATACCAGTCTCCAAAATTTTCAGCCAGCTGTTCGTACTGGGGGAAAACTTCTTTTTCGAGCAGAATTTTCAGCCTGTTGATCGTTTGGGTGATTTTTATACGTTCCAAAATATGAAACTGTTCATCGTTGTACGATAAGGTCCTTGTGGCTCTATCGCGCACCTGAAAGTGCAAAGAATAGTTAACTATATTATCACAAAAGAGTTGTTAAAATGTTCCTAAAAAAACTGGACATTCGTTCGAGAATCGCTCGCCAAACTTTGAACTACTTGAACCCTTAAAAAAATCTTTGTTTAAATGCTTACCAGATGCTGCCAAGAATCACGTAAATGTTCTACTTGGGTTTTTGCTCTCGCAGGCGCCAAAGTTTTGTAAGGACATTTCAGATCCCTACTCATACTGTCCCACTGCAGTTTCAACGTGTTCTCTACACAGTTGGATTTATGCAAGTTAGTAACACCTATAAAAAATTCAATTTTAACCAAAAAAGTTCTCCTTTTTTTGTCAAAAGGTAAGGAAGATCGCGCAATCTCGATAAATTTAATGTTTTAGCAGTATGACACACCTTTTGCTGCTTCAGTAGCAAACTCCTTGCTGATCGACTCCAACCTCTCCGGGAATTCGCACTTCCTCCCGTAGTTGCTTATTTGCTGCGACAATGCCAGCACTCCAGCCATCTTTTTCATTAACAAAGTTTTATCCAGCAAATGCTGAGTGTTTTGATGCAGCTGCTTCAACTCTAAATTCGAATATTTCGTGAAGTTATCCACAGTATCAAAAATCAATTTGCTATACAGCGAGTATCTTTCTATGTGCCGTTTACACTGATGTCCGATACTACAAGCAAACTTAGCTTGCGCCGCATCATTCTCTACTGAAATCACAGTCATAAAATCTGTGAATTTCGGCAATTCTAAGTCTGTAGTTATCGAAATGTTGTTATCGTCTCTGTTGAACAAAAATATCGGTTCTTCTTTTTTCGTTGTCGGGTATCCTTCAGCTCTGGTATATTCCTCTATTATATTTAAAAACAGATCGTTCTGGTATATCAAAATTTGGCTAGTGTCTTTGATGTTGGTCTGTTCGGAGATGTATTCTCTCAAATTTTGATATGTCTCATCAGGTAAAATATATATTTTGATCAGCCTTGCTTCGTTCACGTGGAATATGTCTATGCATTTTCTAGATAACACTACCTCTACCTCTTTGAAAAACCTGGAAAAGAATGGTACTTGTCAAAATTATGATAATGGAGTCTGATTAATTCATACTTGAAGAGTAGCTCTATTAATTGTTATCCATATTATTTATAACATATTGATTTGAACATTGAGTTATAACATTGATTGACCTAATCTGACCTGAAAGAAAACCATATTTAATAGTAATAATAATAAATGATTTTTATTGTCAAGTACACAAAAAGAATTACACAGAATATAGAAAAAACTCTGGCTGCTTTCCTAAACGGCTCTTACTAGAATGTAGAAAGATCCGCTCTTCCATTCAACCGAAAGAAAATACAAAGGGCCCTATACAAATTTTGCAACACAGCTTTATTTATTGACTTCGTACAAACTAATTTTCACGACGTTCGATACACTTCTAAATTCGCCAAAACCAGTCCTTAAGCCAACTCTGCCAAGTTTTACCCGGGAGTGCGGAACACTCGTCCCAAGTCCTCAGAAGGTCCGCATCGCTAGAAAACCGTTTTCCTTTTCGCTTCATTTTCAAATGCGGAAACAGCACAGTCGCAGGGAGCAAGATCTGCACTCTAAGGAGGGTGCAAGTTTGAGTCCAGTAGTGGTCAAATACTCGGTGCAGGCTTTCGCGCGGTGAGCTGGAGCGTTGTCATGGTGGAGGTACCAAGTGTCCATTCTTGACTTTGGCCGCAGGTTTCTCATAGACTCTATGAGTTTAGGCAGGCACGTTCCGTGTACGACTTAGCTGTGACTGTCTTCTGTGTGTCCAAAACGACGCGCTCCACAATCCCGCTCGATTTGAAAAATACAGCTATCATTTTTTTCTCAACAGATCGGGATTTTCTGAAAGCTACGGGCGTGTCCTCATCATCAAACACCCAAGCTTTGTTTTGTGTCTTGGTCGGCACATGGTAATAGAGCCAAGTCTCGTCATCTGTCACGATGCTGTTCACATACCGAGATTGACCCTTATCAAATATTTTCAGCATCCCACCAAGTCGTACGACGTGTCTGCTACTCTGCCAATTGGCTATAGCACCGGAACATATTGCGGAGAAGAAACATAGCTGCTTCAAATTCTCACAGACGACGCCACGGAATCCAATATCTTCTCGGGTAATATTTTGCACGCCGAAATACACTATCTTGCTATCTCCAGGTGGAATACGTTAATCAATGGTCATCACCATTTTAGGAACATAAATATTCCATGCACTTAAAATAAATATTTTTTAGATAACATTCCCATTCAAGATAATCTACAATATAAATTATATTCACACTTGAAGCAGCAACATAAAGCAATTTTATATTGTTTTTCATTTGCTTTAGACTATAAGAATTTATCAACATTCTACTACAGGGGAGAGCAAATATGTACAGGGTGTCCGCAAAGTTGGGGTTGTCCTTTTCAGAAACAACTACCCTTGAAATAACAAAGCTAATGTGTAGTGAAACGAGGGCGACCAAGTAAAAAAAAATAAAGGAAAAAGTACTCACTCTCCAGTTGACGAGAAGGACTAAGTACGTCTCTGCCCGAAATCATACCGCTCCAACAGAAAATGAAATCAGCTGATGCGCTACCGAGCAGACGCAGGCGGTGGTGCAGACCACGAACAGAGGTAACAAATATGACGGCGTTGCCGCGTTTTCAGTTTTTAGGTAAACGTACTTTATAGGTATTGTTCGAAGTTATCGCCGTTTGATTCAAAAACACAGGTGTGTGCACGACGTAGCCAAGCATCGGTGCAGGCTTTGAGAATGGAGTCCCTCCCCCGAATGAAAGCACTAGCTTGTTCAATTCTGAGACGAAGTTCGTCAACCGTATGCGCTTCAGTTTTGTACACTAAGCGTTTCATTTCTCCCCAAAGAAAAAAATCACATGGTGTTAAGTCTGGAGATCGCGGAGGCCACGCTACGGGTCCATTACGTCCGATCCACCTATTCGGAAATAATTCATTCAAAAACTCACGTACTTCGCGTCTAAAATGGGGCGGTGCACCATCGTGCAGAAACCACATTGATTGTCTTACACTTAATGGCACATCTTCTAACAAGGAAGGCAAAATGTTGCGTAAAAAGTCTAGGTATTGCATCCCGTCCAATCGATTTGGGAGAATAAATGGTCCAATGAGCATACCGTTCACCATGCCAGCCCAAACATTCACCGAAAATGTTTGTTGAAAATGTGCCCGACGGACAGCGTGCGGATTTTCTACTGACCAAACATGAGTGTTTCCGAAAGTTATTCACCCCATTACGCGTGTACGTAGATTCGTCTGTCACCAATATGCACTTCAAAAAGTCCGGATTATTGTCATGTTGATGCAACAACCACTCACAAAACCGCACTCTTGCTGGAAAATCGTCAGGTTGAAGGGTTGTACACGTTGGACGTGAAACGGATATAGCCCCTCTTCACGCAGCGTTTGCCACACTTTAGTTTTTGATACTTGCACTTCTCTAGCCACGTCTCTAGTGCTTGTTGAGGGATTCTCGTCTACGCGATTCAGTAGTTCTTCCTCAACTTGCAGCATTCGTGGTTGTCTAGGCCTCCCACTGTGCCCACCTCGAAATTCCTCCAAATGGCCCGTATCCCTGACTCTCTGGACCAGGTACACAAATCTGCGGGGCCTTGGATGATGTCGTCTAGGGAAACGATCTGCATACACTCGCGAAGCCTCTGTAGCACTTTGAAGACATTCGCCATAAATTAACAACATAACAATGAGTTCATTATTGGTGTATGAGTGTGCCATTATTATTTTTTTTTTTAACGCAATCGATTATACGGGTTCGTTTACCTCTACACGCGTGACCGTAACCGTCGGTTGAAGGTTGCATACTGACCTGACACACTGACCCCGACCCAGTTCTGTCGTCGGGTTGAGCCAGTGACCTTGTACCACTCGGTGATGTCGCGGGTCGCGGCTACAGGACGGTATTCAGATATTTTTGATGTTGCAGAGCCCTTTATCTCGGTTCCCTTAAGACATTGGTGAATATGGTACTAAGAAAAATTGCTTATGTTTTCAAGATCTACACGTCGTGTAGAGGAAAACCCCAACTTTGCAGACACCCTGTATATAGAAGATAGACACTACCGACACTACCTTAGCTAAGTGTGATGTACTGTTAATGCATAAAATTTCTAAATACTCGATTCTGATTTATTGAACCACTAAAAAACTCTGCATAGACTTCTTTTTATTCTTATGTCCTGTCAAGACATAAAACAAAATAATTACTTTTGCTATTATTATACTATTTCCAAAAACGCAAACATTTAATATTTACAATATTACACAAATCTTGTCTCAGATTCAGTACCTATCAAACGTCCATATTTTCCTATGATCAGCTTCCAATAACCCAGCTAGCAGTGGAGTAATGATTTTCTTCAAACCATAGCTCAACTGACAGTTGCTAGGCAGCTCTCTTTTCCATTCTATGGGCCCATTCTCCTTAGTTTGAATCCCTGAAATAACACCACTTTCTTTTCTTGTAGTTATGTAGTGCATAGTTTCTTTATTTCTTCTGCCTCCGTAAGGTCTGAAAGGTAGATTTCCAGTTGCTACATGATACAAAGTCACACCTGTAATAGAAAATAAAGCCAAACAGTCACCTTGAATAGAACCTTTTGAATGAATGTTTGCATACCTATGGACCAAAGATCAATAGTGGCTCCAAAAGTTTTGTTAGCGTGTTTCCGCAAAACTGCTCTTTCATACATATCTGGATGAAGGTACTCTTCAGTACCATATAAAGACTGGAAGTGTTGTCCCTCTTGTAATTCTCTTGCTGCTCCAAAGTCAGTAAGTTTGTAAACAGTTGTGCCATCATCACGGATGAACTTCATGATGTTTCCTTGAATAAAAATTAAGTGTAATAAAGTAAACTATTTTGAAATGATTTTATCACCTACCCGGTTTGAGATCCCTATGAATCAAATTATTATCTCTTAAATGCTTCATGCCAGCATACAAGTGTTCTAAAACAAGCAGAAACTCTGATTCTTCCAATCCATATGTATTTTCAGGGTCATCCAAAATGTTGAAAAGGCTTCCCCCAGTACAAAGTTCCATGACTATCACCTTTCCTGGAAATATATTTCAGTTTACTCACGTAACATTAACTAACCTTAAGGAGTGACTCTTTCATTCTGAGATTACTTTGTTGCAAAAACAACATAATAACAAACTAATTAAACTAAACATTTAAAAGTAAAAATTCCCAATAAAAAATGTTCAAAGGCAATTGTCTCCATACAATGATTTTGCTGCATCACACCTTTATCCACTTGTGTCTTCATTTGATACTTTTCTCCATCATAAGTGGGAAAAATAATCTCAGACATTTGTGACATCTCTGTAATATGTGGTGATGTGGTAAAGGTTTTCCTATAAGCTAAGATTGGAGACTACACTTCTGCGGAGGGGGGGAGAACATAATGACATTTATTATAGGATGAGGTTGTGGCACACACACACACACACCTTTGAAGACTTTATATGAGGATTGTTTCAAAAAAAAGGTTCCCAATGGTGTAACTTTGCCGCGCGTGATGCTAGGCGAAATCTGGCAACACCGTCGTGCTAGTCGGCTCCCTCACCACCGATCCCAACAAGAAGCGCCTATCTGCGACGCTCAGTATCGGCCAGACAGATATGCGCAATGAACCCTTCACCGCCAGGTGGGAAATTCGTGCGGTCATCCGATTTCTGCACGCAAAACGTTACCACCCATAGAAATTCATCGCCAGTTGAGTGAAGTACCTATATCGGAAACGTATATAAGCATTCAACGTGGTGAAGTGAGTTCTTTGACGGCTACATGGACATCCACGATGAACAACGAAGCGGGAGACCGTCGATCTCCGAGGAAGTTATGACGAAGATTAAGCAAATCTTAATCGAAGATCGGCAAATTACGATACGGGAATAGGCGGTTAAAATTCCCGAGGTCTCTGAAAAAGCTGAAACGGGCAATAAAATATCGTTGTAGGGTAAGTCATTGCCCATCCCCCTTACAGCCCTGACATAGAGTTTCCAGAAAAAATCAACGTTTCCAATGATAAATTGTGCGTGAAAAAAATATGGGAACCCTATTTTTGAGACAACCCTCGTAACAGTAAAGTAGATGACAAATATAATTTACAAAATACATAATATAGATAGAGCTTTACAAGCTACTTCATGTACATTCAAATAAAGTCTTAATAAACTTGTATTAAATCATGAAATTATATGTATGAGTTCAAGAAGTGGAGTCTAATTCTGACTTTTGACCATATTGAAACTGAATATCACATGCAACTTGTGAGTTACAATGTTTAACATGAAAATATTTTTTTGGACTTGGCCTTAAAATGAAAGGTGTACATCTAAATACAACTTTGTTACAATCACTTCAAAGTCAATTTAATGCAAGAATTAAATAATATGCTTGTATCAAATCATACAATTTTATGTATGGGGTCCAAAAATGGAAAGTAATAATTCTAAAAACAGATTTGACCATATAGATCAAGCAAATCTGGTGAGTTGTATTAATTGAAATGAGAGCTATTTTATAGACTTGACCTTAACCTAAAATTCTATATCAAAATACAACCTTGGTCACAATCAGCCCAAAAATCATTTCAAAGTCATTATAACACTAGAACTGGATAACATTTTTGTATAAAATCATTACTTTGTATATATGGGCAAAAAATGGAGTATAATTCTGAAAAACTGAGCTAGCCATATTGAATCTGAAGATCAAGTAGTACAGTACTTAAAAGTTATTTTTCATGCCACAATTTGCTATGTCATTTAGCAACAATCAAGCTTTATAAAGACCTTTAAAAATATAATTTAATTACATCAAGTTTCCAACTATTACCTCTGTTTTCTTGTTCCTCTTCAATTGCCAACAATTTGACAATATTTTCATGATTAACTTTTTGTAGAACTTCAAATTCTCTAATCTGTATTTCTTGGGGTCGCAAGGTGCTGATGTGATTGAAAGTTTTCACAGCAACTGGCTCCCCATTCACCTTTTAAACAAAATTATTTCATTTAAAGCCTGTTTTCTACACTACAAAATACAGCATGCATTCGCACACTGTAAATTTCTTATGCTTGACAAAATTATTATATTAGCTTTCGTTCATCTGACTACAGATGGCCTACGAAAGCTGAACAACTCTACTCTATGCAGACTGTTTATTCCATTTTATATTTAGTTGCTTTCTAATAAAGTACTCTAATGCCAGTGCATCAAACATAAACATAACAAAACAATTATAATGTATGCTTTCCTGACCTATAACAAATGTTTGAAGGTGAGGCAAATAGTGGAAAAAATAGTAATCTGGTAAGATTTAAGTCAGAAAGTACTACAACCACTTTAATATGTATCAAAACTGCTTGGGAGGTATGTATGTAATGTTTCTGCAGACGTTGAAGTGTCTTTTTTTTCACTAACAACAACAGCTACTTCTTGAACGATGCAAATAGGTCATAGCAGAAATGATAAGATATTCATGTAAAATTATAGGTTAACAGTATGTATGACTTACTTTATTAACTCCTTGATGGACTGTGGCAGTTGCCCCTTTACCCAGAATGCTTGTAGTTGACCAAACGTAGTTGGTAGACCCTCGTAGATAAGAAGACATTTCTTCTTCTTTACAATAGTTTTGGACGAATGGAGAGTCTTCTATTACCCTGTTATGTGATCTTCTAACTAAGCATTATGGGTTTCCCAGAAAACACTACCGTTATTGTTATTAATATCACAAAGACAAAATATCAACAGACGAGATTAGTGTAGCTAATAATCTGTGGACGAGATCAAAAATAGGTAAACAACATCTTGGAGCAAATAGTCCTGGTTTTATGGAGTTTTGAAGAGCCCAATTATTAAATTATATTATTTAAATTGTAAAAACTGAGTATAAAGTACTTATTGCACGATTTTCACTTCGAATCTGGTAAAATAGACCATTAATAATCGTCATAAATAAAAATATTTTCACTTTATTTATCTTAAATACCTATCACCGATTAGGGATGGGCAAATACTGACTTCTAAATAGATTAACCGGTTATTTCACAATGTACGGTTATCAGTTAAAAAAAGCATTAATCGGAAGGTAGGTTTTTCTATCAGATAGATAAGAAAAGAAAATACCTGGTTGGTGTAGGAACAGGTGAGAAAATATGCTACAGACAGGAATATTTATTAAAGTGAAAAGGTTATTACATTATTTTTTATTTCCAGTCATTAAAATTTTATAGAAATTTATTTTCCGATATTATTACAAGACAAATCAGCGCCTACTTGTGAGGCATTGCGAAAAAGTTTGATGTGTGATGCGTCTTTTCTAATTTTTCTGTGATGTGGTTTAATTGCACACAACGCGGGCGCGGTGGCGATTTCCCGTAGTGCTTCAGAAAGGACAACATATAAATAACCCGTCGGGCACATCGAATATATATACCATACTTCATTGGCAGTACAATCATCCAGATGAGATCTTGCCATTCAACCTTAGTATTTAACCAACTTTCTTTCTTTCACATATCAGAGATAAGGACTACAGACTTCTCGGTTTCACAAAACATATACTTGATTCCTAAAACCAACAAAGCGTGTAGTTGAGTCATCCCTCCATAGATGGACGCTCATAGCGAGCAAGCGTGGATTGAACTATTTGCACTCTAAAAACTACGCAGTCTGCCAGATGCATTTTATTGTTTTTTGTATGTTGTTTCCTAGGTTTTTTACATAACAGCCCTGCCGCATCATATGCGGATATTAAAAAGAAACTGTACTGAAACAGGCATAACCGCTTTGGGATAGCTTTAGGTTGTAATAGATGTTCGGTCTCGGTGGTCCCAAAACGCCTTTTTTATGCCACGTTTTATGACAAGATTTGACGTTTGCCAGATGCCAACATCACGTTTCCTACATTTACATTTACCATTGTGAACAGAACAAAAAAAACGCTTGGATAGATTTATCAAGGACGTTGTATGTCCCAAGTATGTATGTAAATGCCGCTCTGTGTTCGTTTATACCATATGCTATGCGGTAGCTAGGCGCTTGGCCAATGACACTATAAGTTGTTGATGGACAAAAATAAAGGTTATTTTTCGGTTAACCGTACAACCGGTTAAATTTGGTTCGGTTACAGTTATTGATGTAATAACTGATTAAGTGATAACTGTCTTTTTATCAATAACGCCCATCCCTATCACCGATTTTGACGTGCATGGCATGTTGGCATGACACGTTAAACGTCATGTCTGTCTGATTTGTTGTATTACGAGTTGTCACGTATAACTTCTGAGCATATGCACCATCTCTAAAGGTTAGACATTAATCAAATTCAAGCGAATAACCAAATGAAAATGTTATTTACCATTTTGGATTGGTATTTACCGATCCGTTCAAGAGAGTGTGGTTATCAGTTTGGTTATAAGATCCGTGATGTCATGAATCAGCTGTTATATGTCATAGTTATCACTGTAAAATTGTGGTATTTACCCAACTCAGGAGTAGTTTTATATTTCTGGTTATTATTTGAAATGTGACAAGTTAGAATTTTGCCGGGTATTGGATATTTTTATTGTACTTCAGCTTCATTTTTGGGAAACTTGATACAAGCTGACTTCAGTTTCATCATAAAGTAGAGCACATGATTAGTTATAATCATTACTGTTGTTGGGGACACTTTAAATCTAGTTCATATGCTTAACAAGGTATCCTGTGTAGCCATATACCACAAGAATATTTAAATATGGCCATATAAAATCACTGGATGATGTCCACCTGTATGTGGTTTTGCTAATATCTTTTTTTCGTCACTTTTTCCTATCATTTCTGCTAAATCAATAGATAGTTACAAAGATGGTTCCATCATTAAAATATTTTTTCTGAAAAAATAACATTTCTCCCATTAATATTATGAAAGGTTTCTTTTTTAAACTTTACATACACCGTTATAGACGAAAAAGCCTCGATTATTAAGTTAAAACCAATGCGTTCAAGCGATTCGAGTAACTGACGTCATCAACCCGTGTGTCATCTTGAACCACATTATAACCGCGGTACATAACACAGAAATTTTGGTTATTCGCTTGGATTTGATTATTTTTGTTCTTTGAGCTGGTTGACGTCTCTGTGACGTTTTGTGGTTAGATTTCAATCAACAAGAATTGATTTTGCCGCATTTGTTTGATCCTGTATCCAAATAAAAGAACTTTCAATGACGAATATAGGATTTATAATTATCGCTAGTATTATGTAACTACTCTTTGAGGTGAAAACACATTTTATACCACAGTACCATTCAAATAATATCCTTTTTTGTAGTTACAAGTACCTGCGTAAAAGCTAGGATAGTAAAATCAACTCAAAATGAGCAGGGAAATGTCTCGAAAGAAAGATGAGCTTCAAGAAAACTTCATCGTTCATTACAGTCTTAGTTTTAAGCATGTTTGTTTACTGACTGTTTCTTGTCCTTTTTTAGCTCTGATAGTCTGTTTTGTTACTGCATATATTTTTCAAGGAAATGATATTCATGAAACTCATTGCCGGGTGGGTACAATGTAACACCTAGAAAAATAATCTTTGAGCTTTATAATGATGTTTGAATTATTAGGAATAAGTGATGTGTATATCTCCAAAAAGAAATAGGAGACCTAATTAACTTTGTACTAAGACATGTGGCTGAATGTTTATATCACTGTTAAAAAAAACTGCAGTTACCTTTAAGGACTAATATGAAATTCATAATTGTATTGTTTATATCCAAAAAACCACTAAGGAAGAACATTTGAATTTCAGGTTTTCAATATAGTCCCATCGATAAGTGCTATAACAGGCATAAGCCCTCAAAGGTATCTCTGGAGAATCAGTATAGCATTCCACATCGGACCTAGATTTATTATCTCTGCAGTATCAAGAGCATATCATCTTAATCAAATAAATGAAGAGGCTCCTACTGATCTCAAAATTAAGGCACGATTTTGGCTCAATTTTGCATTCTGGACTAATCTTATTGAGACTGGTGCTCTTTGTGGAGTTACTTATATTTCAAATAGAGAAAACTATCGTAAGTATGCAAAAAATGCTAGAAGAAAAATTAACCATATAGTAGCACTTGTTTAGGCCTCTATTTCACTGCTTTAGTACCTGAAAGGAATCTTTTTTTTTTTTTAGCTGTTCATGAGAAGTTGTTCATTACATTCATGGTAAGCAGCTTATTACACATGATAGCGTGCATCAAGGGGAATAAAATTGTGGCAAAGACAAGAAATGACATGCTTTGTATGAGAAAAGCTTTACAACTGAAACAGACTTTGTTGAATGTATCGCTTATCAGTACCATTGGACTTGTTGTATTCTTCCTAGAACACAGGCTACTATGCCACCGAATGGGTATGTTAACCTTTGAATGAAAACAATCATTTGTAAAACATACACAAAATACTTCAACTAACAAGTCATTTATCAGGGTTTCCATTAGGAACTTGACAACTTTGAACTTTCACTGTGAACGCACCTTTAAATCAATTACCAAACTGTCAATGTAAAAATATTTAGTAAAGTAAACATTTCATCATGGTGAAGTACATGAACAAACAATGCTTACAAATAATTAAAATTTATTACTGAAATTCCGAGTCGGACTGCAACTTTATGAGCGTTAACGCCAATATTTGGTCGTAATTCTCATCCCAGTAGACAAGCAATTCATAGTCTAGTAAAAAAAATTGAGCCCACATATTCGCTGCTGGATGTTTCTGTGCCAGTGAGACAATGGGTTGGTCGAAATGCCGAGAACAGAACACGTAGATTCCGCGGCGGTCTCAAGAAGTAAGCATTGTTCAGACCACACTATCGAGAATTTTGCCAAGAGATCTTGCACCCTTATAAGATTAAGTTAACTCAAGAACTAAAGCCGTCCGATCGTATGAACCGACGTATGAACTCGAATTGGGCTCTAGAAATGTTGCAAGAAAATGACCAGTTTCATTGCAAAATGATCTTCAGTCAAGTCCTTAATGGAAAACCCTTTATTTAGAGGTGCTTTTTTCAAAGCATAAATTATTAAAAACAGCTATGTTGGATTATCTTCACTAGCAAACAAAATAAGCATCCATGACATTTGTTTTTTGTCAGACTTTATTTCAGATTTTTTTCCAGCATTCAGCATGTTTGCCCTATGTGAATATGTCATAGCTCTGGCAAATATGGCATTCCACATAACAGTGATACTGGATTTTCCCACAGAACATTTCATTGTAGCCAGAAACCTGAATATATCTACCCAAACCAAACCCAATGAAAAAGTCAATTGATATGGCACCCTGTTCCTTGTGAAGTTTGTTAGTAGTTGATAAAATTTTATAAATACTATTTATACAAGGATTGTCCCAGAGTTGGATAAATGTTTAAAGCGCTATGGCTGAAGCACTATAAAATGTCTGTTGATATGTTTTGATTAACACGGCAGGCTTCAGCCATTATGAAGCCTTGAAGACACACTGGATATTGAGACAACCCTGGTACAACAGTCAGTGAATTAAAACCACCTTTGGATCTCATATATTGTCCAAATATATTTGGGTATTTTAAGCTACCCTGGGTACAAAAGCTGTGAAAATATTTTCAGTAGAACCAATATTATCTAGGATTTCAGTTAACCAGAGAAAATGAATGGTTCTTTGGTTATTAAATGTTTTCTTGGATAATTTACTCCGCCAATTTTATAATACTTAAGACAGAACATATAGATAAGATATCCAAAGGCTTAATCAATTCCAAAATTTGGAAGAACCCTATTTTATGAATGCCTCACGCATTCCGTTTTCTAGTTATCAATGACTGTTTTAGCAACACTATTTTTAAAATACTGAAAACGTCTAAGATATTTCCCCACACGGGATATTACCGCATTTTTATCGACATGTATTTTAACCAAGTCTTCGCGTTCTTTCTGGTGTTTATATTTTTTGCTCAAGTCACATTAGCTCATCTAGTAATTCAGAATGATAGTACGGTATAGTCTTTAGTGAAGGCATGTTTTACTCTTTTATTATTTATTAGTAGCAAGTACTATAATTAATCTTAAGTGGCCACTATACTTGTCTATATTGTGTGTTAAATCTTTTCTCAACGTATCATTTCTTTAGGATGCCTCAGCAACCAGTATTGGCGTTTCCTATTAGAAAAAATGTGAACCGCAAAATTTAATTTTGTGTTCACTAAAATATGGTACTTGAAGATATAGATCTGTCAGTGTGATATTTTTTTATTGAATTATTTGATATTTCTAAGTCTGATCAGGTATTGCTTTTAGATACCTTTGTGCCATTATGTTATTTGATTTTTTATTATACTTTTTGGATGAATTTAGATTTTTAATATAAAGGAAACAAAACTCTTGAATGAAAAAAACTGAAACTGGAGGCATATATATGTGATGTTTGTTATTTTGTTAGGATATATTTTGAGATTTAAGATGATAGAATGCTATGATGAAGCCTTGGAACAATAGATGGAATGATATGGAGGTTCTGCACAGTGTGATAATGAAATGCAGCTTACTCAAACTAACACTTTTTCGTTTTAATTCAACTACCTCCCATTGAATGCTTATATGCTACTGAATTCCACAAAGACAATAATTTGCTTCTGCTAAATTCATGTTGATCAACTATTACCATTTGCTGTTGTAGTCCACCTATTTTCCAAGTCTTGTACTCTACCAATGGTGTTACTCTCAAAGTTATACTGCCATCTTCTTGATAAAATATGAAAACACTATTCAATGCTGCCTGTCCAGCACCACAATGATCAGTACCAATCAGTGGAAGATTAAATAAATCAACTTTAATGGCAACACCACACAATTTTTTCGAAATACTTGTAAACCTGAAGCTTCCTTTTCTGTGTTCAAATTTTAAAAGTGCATTTGTAAATATTCTTAGTGCATTTTCATTCAGCTTATAAATGCTTCCAAATTTAAAAAAAAAGTTTTATATAATAATTTATGAATGTTAACTGTGGTAGTGAATTATTCACAATATTTTTTAGTCAAATGACATACTACTGATCCAGTTTATGGTTATAGTCAAAAACAAGGTGAGATTCTTGAATGTGGCATCTGTGTTGTCTAACATTAAATAGACCTTGCTAGATTAGTAGAATGTTTCCTATCTTTTTGTTAGGATATAATTTCTCATAATTTGTCTAGTCATGAAAATGTGTGTACTATACATATCAAAAATAACTGAAAAATCTTATCACTTGTTTTATTTTACTTAATATGTATAACATTACTAAAATCCTGGAATGATTTTACCCCTCTTTGCTGCTTTCTTAAGCTTAGTTGTTTTCTTATCTTTTTTCCTCTTCTGAATATTGTCCTTCCTCTTCTGTTGTCTGTCCTGTTTAGCTTTCTCTACTCCTTGTATCCTCTGTTCCCATTTCTTTTTACTAGATCTTTGTTTTTGTTCCTTCTTCTTAACACTCTTCTTCAAGAGTAATGGATCATCTTTTATTTTTTGTCCCTCAGCTTTTGCTAGAGCATTTTTCCATGCATTCTTTTCTTTTATTTCAATTGCTTTTTCTATTTCCCCACTTTCTTTCAGTTTATTGATTTTTTCATTCTGTTTTTCTAAATTTTCTAATATCTTTTTAGGGTCCTTTTCTTTCTTTACTTTTTTCTTTTTTCCAATTTCAGCAAAATCAAATTTGGAAAATACTAATTTTTCATCCTTATTATAAACAGGTTTATCTGGTTTTTTAGTATCACTCTCCATTTCAGTTGATTTCTCTAGAACACTTGAAAGTTTTGCAGCTCTAGACAATTTATGGTTTGCATGTCTTTCACTCTTTTTTGTCTTCTTTTTCAACTGGTTTTTCAGTTTCTTTTTCTCTAATTTTTCTCTGTAATTCATTTTCTTTTTGCCTTTAACCCTTTCTAACCTGTCCTGTAGTTCTTGAAGAGATCTTGCTCTTGATGCTTTTTTGAAAGAATTTTCTTCATTAGCTTTTCCTTCATCATTTTCGTCATCATCATTAACTGCAATAAAAAATTTTCATGAAGCAGGTAATGTTTCAAAAATCGTCTCACAATTTCAATTTATAATAAAGATACAATCAAATATTGACATCTAGTATCAAATTGTTCACTTATGAAGTAGGATCTATAGCAGTGAATATTACACTCCAAGTATAATTATTTTATCACAGTTGTACTTTATATTGAGGTACTTTAGCTTTGGTAATGGCATATTATACGATTATTTTGAGTACAATCACATAATAATGAATAGGTATCCACAATTATTCAGCTAACTTACGCCGTCGGTCTGGTACTCCTGCTGTTTGAAGAAGATCCATTATGAAGTTACCCTCACTTCTCAGAAACTCTTCTATTTTTTTCGCCATTATTAATATTATCTATATTATATCCTCACTGCAATTCATTAGTTCTTCCTTAACAGGTATTTTGAGGTAGGTATCATAAAAATTCATAAATTCAAACAAAATCAGATCCACATGCAACAAATATGTTTTTTAAGGTTATGCCGATCTGTCATTGTCAACCAGGTAGAGATGAAATAAAACCGTCTTACATTTTACTTTCACACTAAATCACGCTTATAGTCATATGCTGTAAAGTTACCTGAGACTAGGCGTCTTTTAAGTCTGACGGGTACAATGACGGAACGCACCCTAAAACACGCCCAATGAGAATGAGCTGTCAGTGAGTTGCCAAATGACTAATGAATCATTTTTTGTGAATAAACATTAGTGGCTAGTGGCTTTGTAGTTATTTTTTTCAGTAAAAGTAATTGTGGAAAGGTAGCGTTTTTGATAATATTTGTGCCCTTTTCTACACAAGTATACAATATCCATGATGACTGACCGTTTTGGATTAAAATGGGACCCGAAGAATTTAGAAATCAGAACAATGTCTGTGGAGAAAACGTTAGAACCGTTGGTTCTGCAAGTTACAACACTTGTGAATACAAAGGGCCCTAGTAAAAAGAAGAAAGGTAAATCTAAACGTGCCAATGCACTTGTTAGTACTGTAGAAAAAGCGACTGAAAATTTCATTGAGAAAGGAGAGCAAATTGCTAAAGAAAATCCTGACATCACAGATGAGATGCTTGCTGCAGTGGATGAAGTTAGGAGAACAGGTAATTGCCATTTTCATTGCTTTTTTAAGTAGTATTGGACTGCAAACTATCGTACACAAAATGAAGCACTTTTTAAGTCTTGAATTACACCATATTGACGAGAAAAGCGTGATTCACTTTCTGAATCATAGTTTGGTTCTCATGAGAGATTTTGCTTTATTTCTCAGGCTACAGTCCAAATCATTTGATGGATTTGCCTTAATGCAGTATCTGTAGAATGTCATGACATTGCGATTGACCCTGCATATACTAAAACTGGTTAAATGAGAGTGGAAGACTTTAATAAAAAATGTCAGCTTTGATATTTCTATTTCACTGGCTACAACTTAAATGACTTGATTGATTTTGACATAAGTATCTCTACATTTGTCTTGATAATGTGGGTGACATTGGGTATTTTATAATGCCAAAATCATCATCTTCATCAGCTTTGAAATGCCCGTTTGACTCAATACAGCCCAAATGACTTGAGGGTTGAGGGATTTTGACATTTGAGGTATCTTTGCAGTTGGTTACTTATTATTCATAGAGTATTTTGACTCAAGTTGTAGTTAGATGTAGGGTAAGCTATGTAAGCTACAGTAAACATTATTATAACAAGTAGAAAACTTTGAATTTGCAAAATGTTACTATTGAAATCTTTGATACTTTTTTTATGGGAGTTCATTTTAAAGTGAAAGAAAGATAAAGGGAGAGAAACTTATAAATATCTATAATTTTTTAATTAAGAGCAACACCAATTTTGTCAAGAGTTTTTTCTAAAATGTGTTTCATGCCTTCAGTTTTCATTTTAAGAATAGATATATGCCTTCTGCATTGTATCCTCTAGATTTGTTTTGCTACTTTTCTGTGTATCTAACTTGAAACTTTAATTTAGGTGTGGAAGCTATGACAATTCATACACTCAATCATTCCAACATATCCAAATGAATAATCATTAATGTGAAATGAAAAAATATGAGCAGGACCTATACAAGAATCTATTTCAGATGTTTTAAGGGCTACAACATAACCTTTTAAAATAAACTAGCCTTATGATCTGGAGAAATAAAATCAACTCCCACCACTTTGTACCTTTGAATCTACTGTGTATCCAAATCTCAGTTACTCCCTATCAAAACAAAGTGCACAACTGTCAAATTCGCGCGTTTATGGGTAATAAATGCCTAAGCAGCAACATGCAATGTATTTTGCATCACATCCTGTGTCTCTTAAGTAAAAATTCAACATTGTACACTTGTTTGTAGGTCAGAGTTGCATGTTATCATTTTATTTTTACTTCGTGTCATTATTCTGTTTGCATTACACTAGACTGTAATTTATGAACAACAGCAAACTTTAGTGTTTTAGATTTGAAGTTCCCAATACAAAGTATTATTAAAATACAAAGATTCAACTGATGCAGTTCCACTTATTATTAGCACTACAACAGTGGGTGGAAATGTCTGATGACACTGTTGTGTAGTCTTTATTTATGCTGGATAATGCACAAAATGTTCTGCCAGCTTATTCTTGAATAAATTGATGGTTTTTGCTCTCACTGTTTGTTCACAAGTATACAACATGATTAGAAATGAAATTTCTCCTTATCAACTTATATGTTCTCTCCTTTTCTAATTTTTTGGTATTTCCTCTGAGATGAAGATTCTGATACATATTGAATATTTGAAGGGTCCATGAGTAGCAGCCATATGGCAAATGTCGAGTCTCTGGTGAAATTCGCGTTATTTTATGTTACAACCTTTCCAGTAGTTCAATGTCTTCACTTTTTTCTTTCATCCTTCCTTCTACCCTTCTTATATGGGCAATCCTTGCTATGTCTTATTAACCTACAAACCTTTACTTACACATTGCTAGATTAAGTGGACAATTTCTTTTTGTTATGATAATAGGGACTGCGATGAGCATCGCAGCTCGAGAGTTCTCCGAGGATCCATGTTCATCCTTGAAACGCGGTAACATGGTGCGAGCTGCTCGCAACCTGCTTTCAGCAGTCACACGTCTGCTTATCTTAGCCGACATGGTGGATGTTCACCTGCTGCTCAAATCACTTCATGTCGTCGAGGACGATCTGGAGAAGCTGAAGAACGCATCCAGCAACTCCGAGCTGCTGGACAACATCAAGGCGTTCGGTCACAATGCTAATGAGCTTATGAATCAAGCGGCTAAACGCCAACAGGAATTGAAGGTAACAAAAAAATTGAGATATACCCTCCCCCTACCACCTGCAACCCCTAACCCCCGATTTTTAACAATTTTTTTGTTTCTGGCCTTTCTTCACAGCTGCTGGACTGATGCTCAAAAACTACAAAGCGTTTTCGTCCTTAGCATAACATTGTGTAGAAATTACATCTAAATCCGAGCGTTACTTCTCGAGTTATAGGGGATTATAGGATTAGCTGACAGACATGCAGCCTGATGGAAATGAGTGACATGGTTTTTCGTGATGGACATATCATATAACATCCAAAAAATATAATAATCTCCTTTTCGAAAATTTTCGCTATTATAATACTTCCCCTCCAGTAGGCGTGGGAACTAAATGGAAGCCAATTAGATTTTAGGTAATTAAGCACGCTTTTGAATGTGTTAAAAATCGTAGGGGGGTTATCCAAGTTTGGAACCTCTTTGTTATTCGAAACATGTCAATAAACAATATGTATATTCATACTAAACATAGAGTAGATGGCGCGTTGTATTGTCTTATTTCAATATTTCCGTTGTTTAAATATCATATTTTGCACATAGGAGCGATCGTGAATAGCGAGCTTTACTTTGCATAATCGAATCTTTGCCAGTATTTTAAGACAATCCATAATCTACATCATATCCTATGAAAAATATGATTGTATTTCTTTTCAGGATCCACAATTGCGTGATGATCTGGCCGCTGCCAGAGCAGTATTGAAGAAACACTCCACGATGCTGTTGACAGCTTCAAAAGTTTATGTACGTCATCCGGAATTGGCTGCAGCAAAGGCTAATAGAGACTATGTGCTAAAACAGGTACGTACAGTTTGTGAAAGTCTTTGCTTAGACCTCATCTGTATTCATTTAAATATTTTGAATAAGAAGTCCACTTAGACTGAATAAAAAATTTGGTCGTTGAAAAAAATACGATTTATGGAATACGTTCTACAATTTTCAATGTTATTAGAGAAAGCAATCAATTTTGCGATTTTTTATTGAAATTTAAGGAATGAATGACACAGCTACAGAAATTATTTCCCGTGGGGTCCATAGCCATTGTTTTTCAAGCACTAGCCTAAATTATTACACCGCCTAAACACAAGCTATATTTGTAGAACTGTCATGATAAGCTTTTTGCATTAGTCTTAACGTAGTTGTAGAACCATTTACATTTGTACAATTTCTCTGAGTTACCTCAGGTATTCTTGATGATATTTAGATTATATTTGCGTTTCTGACAGGTCTCTTATTCCTAAAATTGATTTACCTTTCCATGAAATTAACCTACCACAAACAAACTGTTGAACAGCTTTGAGGATTTTTTGTGAGTGAAGTGCTCTACGTTGTATTTACGGTATTTTCAGAAGTCCTACATTTAAATATTTAAGAGTCTTGGAGCTGTTAGGTATATGTTTTTTCATTGTGGAATTCAGCAGCAACAATATTGAGGTGAAACCATTTTTTGGCATTATATTTAGATATATGTTTACCTATTATAAGAGAACCACACTATGAGACATTCACAAGGTATATTCTCGACACCTTAAACCGACTTTTTTTGACGTACACAGAGCCAACTCCCATGATGCTCAAACTTTGAAAAATTGACTAATAGAATCGCTGCGATGTCGTGGCCTTCACGAATGCTGTATATAAAATCTCTAGATTTCTGTGCTTCCATTGGAGAGAGGTTGCGAAAGAAACAGGTTGGAACTGCAGAAACGCAGGAAACTTATTATTCACACCACTTTACAACTTTGCTGCATTTTCTTCACTTTATTTTGCGGTATTTGTAGCTCTTTTTTTAGCGGTTATAAGAGCAAATTGAAAATGGAAGACACTACTATAACGTGATTTTACATTCAATCTGCAATTCTTTAACTTTCAACAACAACAACAAATTTTCATTTCCAATTAACAATGCAAAATACATTCATGTACCCACAATGTTAGGTGAAATGACGTCATCACAAAAAAAAAAATAGAGAGAAAAAACCTAGAATTGTGTTAAATAGTCCAGATAATGAGGTTCTAGATCTATCAAAATTTCGTGTACTTTTCTCTTAAAGAAATTCAAATTACTTACTTTTTATATGTAATTGAAATTTACAGTGTTATAGTTACCCTCTGGTATATACTCTTGTAAATAACTAGCAGTTATAGTTCAAATATTATGAGAAATAAATTTTCCCCAACATGATTCTCTTTATGACATTTTCAGCATACCATCTCAGAGCTTTTTTCTTGGAATATAAAACGACGATTTACATAAATGCTTTGCCCTTAAAAAAATATTCCATACCTTAGGATAGATTCAAAATTAGCATGGTAGCTATTTTTTAGAGCATTAATATCAAAATAGTTATTTAAAACCTGCAGAGTGCTGCTTAACTTAAATGTTCTGTGTTTTCTACATATATGTTCTGTCCACTTGAGTTCTTCATCTATGTATACTCCAAGAAATTTGGTGTTATACTGCAAATTAAGATCTATTTCCTCAGCCAAAGCTACTTTAGTTGGTAGAATACAATTGTTATGCTTGGACTTGAAAATCATGAAATTTCTTTTTTCTGCATTCACCACTAATTTGTTCTTTGTAAACCATTTCGAATCCGTATGATAAAAAAATGAAGCGTTTTGTACACTTACCAGAATATGTACTAGTATCATCTGCATATATTGAAAGATCAATGCTTCAAAGGAATAATCAAGTTCTAATGACATATCGTTTACAAAAGCTTTAAATAAGATTTATGTATCTTGCCCAGACTGAGTAAGTACTACATCCCTAATAGCTTTCCTAGGTGGCATAACCTGTTTCCATCCAATTCCTCCTTTAGCGAGTTGGATATTTTTTCGTAACAACGAACCTTCTTCCAGGTATGCGAAGCTGTGAACACCATAAACGACGTGGCCCAAGGCCGTACGCCTCAACCAGCCGCAGGTCCCTTCGACGGACCTGGAGAACTGGCGGCCGCGCTGGACGACTTCGACGATCATATGGTCATGGAACCGCTGGCGTACAACGAGGTGCACACCAGACCCTCGCTGGAGGAACGTTTGGAGAGCATCATCAGCGGGGCGGCGCTCATGGCGGACTCCAGCTGCACCAGGGATGAGCGGCGAGAAAGAATTGTCGCCGAGTGCAATGCTGTCAGGCAGGCGCTGCAGGTAAGGATCGATCTTTGCAAATATCGACGTCTTTGTATTATTGTCGATGTTCAATCCCTACTTTTTTAATATATAAATGCGAAAATGTGTATGTTTGATTTTTCCGTTTTCACGCCAAAAGGGCTGTACCAATTTTGATACATTTTTGCACAAAGATAGATTAGACCTTCGAGAGGGATATAGGCTATCTTTTGTGCGACAACAAAACTTGAAATGGCGGAAATAATGGATGAAGTTACTATGGTGAAACTATTATATAGTTGGGATATAAATATGAGTATTTTATATTTGGTTCCTTGACCGGATATAGATGCACGGGGCGGGATGAAAGAAAATAAAATACTGCAAGTGGTGAATATTGATGTGTTTCTTTACTGTCGATATTTATAGGTATCGATTGTTTTTATATTACCATTGATTTTTTTCACAAAGATTTTAAGGGGCTTATGCTCATACCTGGAAGGTTTTGGAAAATGTTTAGTTTTTTCACATACATTTCAATGTACTCTTTTCGGATTTTCGTTTTCGCACGTATTGAAAAATAGCTAGAACTACACTAGAGAAAATTTCCGGAAACTTATGTATCTAGCATTTTTTGCAGAACAATAAGTTTCAGCACACTGGCGTGGCAGAGTTTAAGATAAAACGGACATAGTCGAAATCGTTCATTAGTTCAGTAGTTTTACGGGATAATTTGGGATTTTCTCTTGATATGTTGTTTCAGATTTTTTATTAAGCTATCTTGTATATTTGCCGATAGCTTCGTGATACTAGAAAGATGGCGCCTATAATTAAATTTTAAACAATATATCCTGATTCCTCCAATTCAACGATAAAAATTACTGCTGCAAATGTTCTACGGTTAGTATATTTATCTTTTTTCAGGATGGCTTATTTCGGCATACGGGTATCGTAAAAAATTAAATGCACTAAAATAATGTTAATGTTAGAAGATATTTTTTTAACTTTTTAAACTATCTCATCCTGGTGAAACTTCTAGAATACTTGAGACCATTAAGAATTACTATGTGTGCTCACTACACTTAGAAGCAACCTGATTTCCTAGCAAAGCCAACTATAAGTAGACTATTCTGGTTCTCAAATGCCCTACAAATCGCATTCGTAACATGTATCTCCAGATCAATCAATCATATCTAGTATTTATTTAGTTTCAAAAAACCCGTAATACTTTACAATTAGATATGCAATGAATGATCATCTGAAAGTATACCTTGTATGGAAATACTTTTCTTTAGTCTGTTGATCATACACCATTACGCAGATCTCCTGCAAGGCTGCTCCAACTTGAACGTAAAAAGCGCCATGTGGGAAAGTTCACTTTTTGATTTAAGAAAAAAAAAATACAAACTTAATGAAAAGAAAATATATATTATATTATTCCTATCAACATATTCGTAAAATCGGCCGGTTTTATTTCTTAAATATCATTCCGTCTAAATGTTTGCCATCCCTTCGGACACACTCTTCAAATCGCGCGCGCAAATTCTGAAACACTCTCTTGCAGAGTTCCGGAGTGATGTTGTTTATTTCTCGTCGAATGTTGTCCTTAATCTGCTCCAGTGTTCGTGGATTATTGGACTACACTTTTGACTTTAGATAACCCCACAAAAAATAATCGAATGGCGTGAGGTTGGGTGACCTAGGAGGCCAGTGAATGTATCCAAACTTCGATATAACTTTTTGAGGAAAAAAGTGCTTTCGCCATGTCCATCGATTCTCTGGAAGTATGGGCAGTGGCCACAACCTGTTGAAACCATGTGTTTCTGTTAAATCGACGTTATGTTCTTACAATAGGACCAAAAAAGTGTTAAACATGTCCTTGTATCGCTCGGAGTTGACTATCAATGCATGACCGTTTTCATCTTCAAATAAATACGGCCCAGTAATACCGGTAGAGGATATGACGCACCAAACAGTCACCTTTTGACTATGTAGCTGTTGTTGGTGTTTCTCTTTTGGGTTCGTTGGTGCCCAATATCTGGAATGTTGCTTGTTCACATAACCGTCTAAGTGAAAATTGGCCTCGTCACTGAAAAAAACGTTCTCGAGTCTACGCTGCGTATAAAAAAGATTCAACATCCATTCAGCACAAGATTTCCGTAATACGTAATCACTTTCCTTTAAAGCATGGACTGACTGGATTTTGTAAGGATGAAAACCCATGTTTTTCTTCATTATGCCATGCAGTGTTGACCTAGGGATTCGCAAAGCAGCGGAATGTTTCCGTACAGAACGCCGAGGCTTTGCAGTGACCGAATCCCTCACGGAGAGTAGAGCCTGTTTCTCGGAACCTCTTAATCCACTTTTTCCAAAGGTTCTTACTTAGGGCATCTCTTGGTCGGCGAATGTTGTATCGTGTAAAAAATTTCCGAAGGGCAGCTGCGTATGAATGTCCACTCTTAAAGTAAGCCTTGATAGCAAAAGCACGTTGCGCTCCGGTCCAACGTTGCATTGTGACTATTTAACCCGTACGCCGAACGCGTCAATCAAATTTGAAATGTGAACTTTCCCACTGGACATCATGTAATTAATCCGATAATTTTATATCTCTTTTGAAGTGATATCCATAGATATCTTTCATCTTCTGGGTTTCTTAGGTGTGAACGCTTGTATTTAGATCGGATGGAACGGTCCCTAAGAAAAAGACTACGTCTGAAATTATTTTTTCAATGCGCCCATTTCTATTACAGGACCTTCTCTCCGAATACATGACGAACATGGGCACCAAAGACCGCAGCGACAACCTCAACAGAGCCATCGACAACATGAGCAGGAAGACGAGAGATTTGAGGAGGCAACTGAGGAAGGCTGTTGTCGATCACGTGTCGGACAGCTTTTTGGACACCACCGTGCCTTTGTTGGTGCTGATCAAGGCGGCTCAAAATGGGAACGAAAAGGAGGTGGAGGAGTATGCTGTGGTATTCGCTGAACATTCCAATAAACTTGTTGAGGTAAGCCACCCAAACTAATTCATTACATACATAACCTAGATTGAGGATTCAGCCATGGTTGATCAAGCACTTTTATATCCTGGGGCGCGTAGCAGCGAAGAAGATATACGTCTGTTCACGGTTTTTGGCGGGTCACAGTCAAACTATAGGAATTACTTTATACATCCTTCTTCCTCAGACACTGGATGCGCAGGCTTGGAGGGGAAGCAATTGAACATGTGATCCGCCTTCAGTACAAGTTTGAACTGGTTCGAGTCATTTGGTTGTCCGTAGCGTTTTTTTTTTGTGAAACAATTTTTTCTATTGTGGTCTAAAAGTGAGTGCTTTAGACAGTGCAATGGAAACTCTCGCTAAACGGGCCTACGAAGATAGTGTTTTATCAAGAGCCCAGGTTTTTCGGTGGTTTAAGGCATTTCCAGAAGGGAGAGAGTCGATTGAAGATTTACCACGGAGCAGACAGAATCTGGTATCTTGTGCGTTCAGATCGTCGGTTGACAGTCAGAGTGATCGGGAAAGAGTGACATTTGACTCACACCCCCGTTCATCAGATCAGTAAAAACATTCCTGTGGCTCCTCAGCCTCCTTATTCGGCCGACTTGAGTCCTTGTGACTTTTGTCTTTTCCCAAAGTTGAAAAATCACCTCAAGGGAACTCATTTTGGGACAGTCGAAAACATTCATCCGGCTGTCGACCAGCATGGCGGCTAGTAACAACGGTCTTGTAGTTGACAACAAAATCTGCAAAAGGTGTGGCACAATTGCGAAAAGTGGGTACCAGTGTGTGCGATGTAAAACCTCAGTGCATAGTGGTTGCTTTAAGTATCTCAAAAACGTTCAGAAGTTGGACGAAAAGTCAATACTGTGCTGTTAATCTGCCAGATGCAGTGAACTGACCGATGTCACCATTCGACAACAAAGTATGGACGAAGTTGATGACGAAAGTGACGTCTCATTCTGCAGCGTCAATAAAGTAATTGGGGACAATGTGAGTAATAAGGATATTATATTTTTGAAAGAGTTGATCAAGCATCTGATTAAGTCGCAACAAAAAACAATAAACAGTTAACACGAGCAAATAAACTCATTGACAGTATTGATGAGACAAGCAACGACATCTGTGACTGAGCCGAAAGAACACGCAAAGTCTACCAGTACGAGTCGAAACAAATCAGAAAGCAGAAAGCCCATGAATAAAGTAAATAAAAATACAAGTGACTCAGGAGTGTCGAAACAGCAGGTGTCTGCTCACCAAGTTCTCGTATTCGAGCACGAACACCAGTCAGCAGGTGGCTACAGCTGTGGAGCGGGCGCAAGCGCGGACGAGTGCTAAACCAACAGCAGCCAGTGCCAGCGGCCGGTCGTCATTCGGATGATGGAACTGATGCAGATGTCAGTAACTCCAGTCAGTGGCAGCCGGTAAAGAGTCGACGAAACAGAAGCTGACGCAGCCTAGTCGTAGGCAAAGGTCCCGAAACTGGTGCAGTGAGAGGCGTGGAGAAAAAAGTTTCGCTACACGTTAGCAGAATCCATCCAGACACGAATATTGAGGAGATGTGTTCTATGGTTAAACTACACTTCGCTGAAGCTACTGTTGAGAAGCTCATATCTAAACATCCTGAAGAGTAATCGTCTTATAAAGTTACCATTGCCCATAGCAGCTTCAAAGCAGCTCTGGATGTTAATAAGTGGCCCAAAAATACTTGCGTTAATCGTTTTTTATACAAACGGCGGAATGTGGCACAAATAAGTTTGATTTTGTGCCATCGCTTCTATTGTTAAACATTCAGTGTATGAATGCATTTAAAGTTGACGAATTGCTCTTAACAATGATGGACTTTAGTAGCATAAATTTCGTGTGTTTGACTGAGACTTGGGCCTTGAGCGAGTCAATCAAAAAGTTTGTAATCGACGACTTTGACATTTCTAGTCACCATGGTAGATCACAGTACAAAGGAGGGGGCACAGCCTTATATTCCCGGAAAACTGTATCTACCAAAAGTATAGATCTTACCAATTTTTGTGTTGAAAAACAGATAGAACTATGTGCTTCTCAATTTAAGGACAATGGTATAACCAGGATTATCATTGTATGTTATAGATCACCTTCAGGGGATATAAAAGTGGTCTACGATAAATTACTACATAACTTTATGTGGCGATTTCAATATAGATTATTACAATCAAGGTACTGAATCTGGAAACCTGAATAGGGTCCTCAGTGAATTCAATTTGTCTCCATCAGTGGGATGGCCGACAAGAATAGGACGAAGTTCAGTCACCACTATTGATCAGATATTTACAAATTTTGAGGGCAGTGGTACTTCCTACGCTTTAAAGAATAATATGTCAGACCACAGGACAGTCTTCTTCGAACTCCATGAAAACATCTCAACAAAAAACAAACCTAATAATATCTGAAAAAGGTGCTACCATGAAGACTCAATAAACAAATTCATATCAGATCTATGTGCTGAAGATTGGTCTCTACTATATAACATGATCAATGTTAGCCTCGCGTTTGGACATTTTTTTGAGGTATTTAACTACCATTTTCAAATGAATTTTCCATGGCGAATGCATACGGTTTCAACCAAAAGAAAATTGTGGGTGAACGAAGAAATAGTGCGTTCTACTCACAATTTGAAGGAACTTCATTATTTAGCAACAGTAGTTCCTGAATGTAAATAACAATATATTGAAAAAAAGAGACTACACAAGAAATTAATAGAACATACAAAACGAAGGTATTATCAGAAAAAAATATTTAATTCCAGTCTGGAAGACTATCTGAACTGATCGGAAATAATACAAAAAAAACAATAATATGAGTTCGATTACTACATCCAATCAGAAAAACCGTGCTGATGAATTCAATCAGTTTTTCAAAAATGCACCTCTAAAAATCGTCAGAAATATTCCAACAAATCCCATTCATGTTAATACCTTTAGTTCGAGCAGGGAAGATACGCGGCATATGATTGATTAATTATTTGACTTAATTAATAAAATGCTAAAAAACAACATCTGGGCCAGATGAGATCCCAAATAGTAAAAAAAGTATTGAATTACATTTTAAGCCACTGGTCTTCATGATCAATATGTCATTCTGCACTGGGAAATTTCCTTGGCTGCTAAAAACAGGAAAGGTGATTCCAGTATACAAAAAAGGGGATCCCTCTGAGCTGAGTAATTACAGACCAGTAACAATACCATCAACTTTTTCAAAAGTATTCGAGTACTGCTGTCTGGACAGGTTGTTTTTGTTAAATAATAATATTTTGACAGATAATCAGCACGGTTTTCGAAATGGGAAATCTACGGCAACAGCAATTCACAGCTTCTACGGAACTCTTGTCAAAATGATTGAGACGGGCGAGTGCCCTGTTGGGATCTTTTGTGATCTCATCAGGGCATTTGACTGCGTCAATCTTGAAGAGCTGTTGCAAAAAATGTCAAACTATGGCATAAATGGCCCACCATATCACTGGATAAGGTCTAGGACCTGTGCTTTTCAGATTATATGTAAATGACCTTGAGTTCTGGTCCTCTGAAGGTAGATTCATTTTATATGCAGATGATACTTCAGTGGTGATATCGAATAAGTGTAAGGCTACATTGAGATATTGTGGACTTTTATTGCAAGGTATTCACAAGTGGTTTAGCAGCAACCAGCTCTATTTGAATTCTGAAAAAACATCAGTTGTCCAATTTCACAACATCCAGAAGAAGCCTAGGACATTAAATATCACTTTTAATGGCTCAAGAATGTCCCTTAACACGCAAGTTAAATTCTTGGGCTTGTATCTAGATACAGGTTTGAATTTTAAAGACCACTGTCTATATATTGCTTCAAATGTAAACTCCCAATCATATCTAATGGAAAAATTTGCGAACTGTCCTTACCGAAGCACAGATAGCTTCTGTTTACTATGCTCAAGTTGAGACACGACTGAGGTATGCATTATTATTCTGGGGTTTGTCTACAAATGCACAACAAGTATTTTTGACCCAAAAAAGAGTGGTTAGATGCATGATGGGAGTCAGCAGTAGGCATTCTTGTAAGGATATTTTTAAGCGTCTTAAAATTTTAACTTTACCATCTTTATTTTTATACCGAAATGGCTGTGTATACTTTTATTAACAAAACTAGGTTTTTAAACAATTTTAACTCGTACTCGACCAGACAAGCTGGAGACTTAAATGTGCATTTTGCCAAGTATAAGATCGGAGTCAGATCTCCAGAAATACTGGGTCCACGAATTTTCAATAGGCTACCAAACCACATTAAAGAGTGTACATAATTTTAAGGCTAAACTGACAGATTTTCTTGTGTGTAAATGTTATTATGTCGTCTCTGAGTTTATGTTATGACTTATTTGTGTGTTTGTTTTATACATATATTTATTTTCTATTGTTTTATTAGTTTTTATTCCGACGAATCCTATACGTACTTTGTTATGTCTCTTAGGATAATAAAAGAATTTGAATTTGAAGGCTATTCCAGCACTGCCATGAAGAGTGGAAGAATCGTCTCCGGGGCTGTGTGGCTTCAGAAGGAAGTTATTTTGACGATGACAATAAAAAATAGTAATTATATTTGGATAGAAAGATAAAAAAATTGTTTCATCACTTAATTTACAGACCTCATATCTATCTATTGGCGCAATCCGAGGATCAAACGTATTTCTCGAGTCGAAAGTATCACCTTGCGCTCTTAATGCACAAATTATTTTTCCAATCTCCCGAAGAAGCATGTGGCCTGACATTCAGACACCAAAGATTGACATTTGCGGATAGCTATCGAAATTGAAGATTAGCCACTGAATATAAATAAGCAAACCACTTGCTAAAAAAAGTATTTGGAGCTCTCAATGCACACACACCAAATGCTACAAGAATTCAAATTTAAATACATTTATTTGCCTAAAAAGCATTATTCTATCGTGTTATAAAAAATACACTCAAATGATAATATTTTTGACGAAAAGCACATATTCTCGGTCAGAAATGACCGTTAACACCCAGCCTCACATAAGTAGGGCAGGTGTGAAAATGCCCTGTTTTACACTAATTTTACACAAACTACATTTCATTGCATTTGCATTATTTGAGGAGGTGCCCAAAAATAACCGGAATATCATTGCAGTGGGCGGAGCTTGTGTAGTACACATTTCTGCCCCTATAGGCGTACCGCGCAACTCATTACCAGTTCAGTGCCACCTGAGTTGTCGATCTGGCTTGTTTCGTTCCTCTGTAGTCATTATTTTTGCTAGAGCTGTTTCGTTTTTTTACGATGGCAAGCTTCAGTGAGCTGTGAAATTTTGCTATCTAATTGATAAAAATGCTGCTGAAACTCTTTTAATGTTGAAAATAGCTTACAAGGATGATGCTACGGGAAAAACTCAGGTGTACGAGTGGTTTGCTCGATTTAAAAATGGCGACATGTCGATTGATGACAAACCTCGCTCTGGACTTCCATCAACTGCCCGAATCGACGAAAACGTTGAAAAAAGCTTGTGCTATTTGGAGGTTTTAAGACGATTGCGAAACTGTTCGGCAAAAAAGATCCGATTTGTGAAAAAGTTGAAAATAAATAGCTTTTAAAAAATAATTCCGTTTTTTTTTGATACCCCCTCGTATCATACAATATTTAGGAATTCAATGATATACCACAGAAAAAATATTTATACACTTAAAATGTCAACATTCTGGCGGGAAATTTGTTTTTGTCGTAGATTCATGTTTGACACTATATTTTTCTTATTGCAGGTTGCCAATTTAGTGTGCAGCATGTCAAACAACGAGGATGGCGTAAAGATGGTGAGATACGCTGCTGCACAAATTGACAGTCTTTGCCCAGAGGTGATCAATGCAGCTAGAATCCTGGCGGCTAGGCCGAAAAGTAAGGTTGCTCAAGAAAACATGGAGGCGTTCAAGCAGTCTTGGGAGAACCAAGTGAGAATTTTGACAGAGGCTGTTGATGACATCACGACCATCGATGATTTTCTGGCAGTGTCAGAGAATCATATTCTGGAAGACGTGAATAAATGTGTACTAGCCTTACAGGTAAGAATAAGTACGTTGATTTAGTAAACAAAACTCAAGATTCTGAATTTTCTACATACACTTGTTTCTCAAGTTTCTGTATCATAGTAAAAAAAGCAGCAGTTCGTTGTATCACCCAAATAAGTATGGGGTTGTCCAAAACGGACGCAGGAAAGTAAACGCATATTAAAACAAGAAAGATTGATATTCAAATCAAGTTGGGTACCTACTTTATTTTGAAGGTTCATTTATACCATTTATGTATGAAAAATAATATCGCTCAACTGTTCACCTCGACTGGATTTACAGACGTCCACGCGATGGTCGAAATTTTCAATGACATTTTGCAACATGGTCGGTTCTATGGCATTTATCTCGGCATTGATGTTGTTTTTGAGTTCTTGGAGGGTGGCTGGTTTGTTGACGTAGACTTTGCTTTTCAAATATCCCCATAAAAAGAAGTCCAAGGGAGTCAAATCGCACGATCTTGGTGGCCATGGCACATTTCCTCTGCGCGAAATCACGCGATCACCGAAGAAGGTCTGCAATCGATGGATATTGACGTTGGTTGTGTGGCATGTTGCACCGTCTTGTTGGAAATAAACATCTCCATATCCATTCCTTCAAGTTGCGGCAAAAAATAGTCCTCTATCATCACGTGATATCGCTCAGAATTGACGGTAACGGCGTCCCCGGCCGCATTTTCGAAAAAGTAAGGTCCGATGATGCCTTTTGACCACAATGCACACCACACAGTCACTTTTTGAGGATGCATCGGCTGCTCTTGATACTCACGGGGATTTTCGTTCGCCCAGATGCGGCAGTTTTGCTTGTTTACTGTCCCATTCAAAGTGAAATGCGCTTCGTCGCTGAACATGATTTTTGATGAAAAATTGGCATCAATTTGGCGGTGTTCAAGGAGCCAATCTGAGAACGTTCGGCGCGAAAAATGGTCGGCCCGACGCAGCTCTTGCGTCAATTGGATCTTGTAGGCGTGTACATTCAAATCCTTGTGGAGAATGCCCAATTCTTGGGATCGACGCGTTGTTGATTGTTTCGGATCGTCTCTCACACTCTCCTTCACAACAGCAATATTTTCCGGTGTGCGAACGCTCCTTGGCCGGCCAGAGCCTGGCAGATTTGCCACAGAACCTGTTGCCTCGAATTTACCCACCAGACGACCGATGGTTGTTTCGTTTGGGCGGTTGTTGCGACCGAAATGTTCACGAAGCGCGCGAAACGTGTTTTTTATTTTTGCACCATTTTTGTAGTGCTCTTGAATAACTTTAATACGGTCTTCAATCGAATACGACTCCATAGCGATCAATGGTAAACATTCAACTAACAAAATGACATGTCGGTGACAGAAAACAAAGATGGCGTCTATGTCAAATTGACGTTTACTTTCCTGCGTCCGTATTGGACAACCCTTTATAATAGAAGTCATCCCAATCCATCAATTCATGTTGTCAAAATTCGGTGTTACAAATCAGTAATTGGATACCATGACGATAGGCGATTATTATCACCTAAAATCTCAAAAATACCAAATTTTGTAACAAGTGATAATTATCGTATACGACTCTTATCACGATTTCAAATATACTTCCCCAGGAGGCATACACAACTCGAAAGAAAAAAATAATCCCAAATTATATTTAAGATTGACTATTTCAGTTGGTTTTTTGTTTAGAAAAATCCTTTGTTATAGGAGGGAGACGCCGATATCTTGGACAGAACAGCTAGTGGAATCCGAGGTCGTTCTAATCGTGTCTGTAGCGTGGTCACTGCCGAAATGGATAATTACGAACCGTGCATCTACACCAAGCGTGTCCTTGAAGCGGTCAAGGTGCTTAACGACCAGGTGATGCCCAAGTTCACCCAGCGCGTCCAGGTAAGCAGCAAGCTCATTGTTTTATATACAGGGTAGATCAAATATGAACCGGACTTTTGTTTTAGTAATTTTAATGGTATAGCAAATACAAATTTATTTACATCTTATTTCTTATTGATGCATTTTCCCATCGGCTCTGAAGTTTTTTAATCCCCTCATCAAAGAATGAAGCTGGTCGTGTCAGTAGCCAATTGTTCACGAACGTTCACCACATCAGTCGTCGTCAAAGTGGTGACCTCCCAGGTCTTCTTTAAGTAGTCCAAACATGTGACGACAAATTGGTACTGTAAGGCGGGTGTTTCACAATGCATTTCGCGTAATTTTCCTTGGGTAAATGCAGCTGTGTGTGGCCGAGCGTTGACATGGAGCACAACGGGATTTCAAATAAGCATGTCTCGCTTTTCTCATATAGGCCAGTTTCACTTCTTTAAGCAGTTGGCAGTAGTAAGCACCTTTAACTGTACGACGATCGCGAAAAAAATCAACTAGCATTATACCTCTGGAATCGAATATTCGCCTGACTGATGCTCGTCTCGGGTCGGCGCTTATGGCTCTGGTTTTATACTGTTTCTCGGACATCGGAATTTTTTTTTCGCCAGTATTATAGTTGTGTCCTTGAAAGTGTCTTATTGCAGAACTGTGCTGTTAATCGACGCAAAATTTCGGGAGATTTTAAGCTCTCCCGCGTCAAAAAATTATGATAATGCGTTGCGCAACAGACGTGTGCTCCTCTTCGGCTTCAGCTCATCTACTTCGGCGCGCCAAACCGACTGACTTCCCTCTTCCTGACATCCCCACTCAACATATGACCCGTTGTAAGCCACACTGCTCCAAGTCCAAAATTTCAGATTTCTGGGTTGCATCAGTCAAGTCATCGTTGGTTGTCAGAGCGGTCCGTGGCACCTTAGCTCTTGAGTCACACTGTCAGTTTGTAAGTCTGTGTGCATACTGTTCTGGATGAAGCAATCGTTGTCTGGGGAGAGTTTTTAAAAATGTATGTTCATGTTTTGCACACAGGTGGCACCAGTTTGTTTTTATCACCCAGCGCGACCTGGTAAGCACGCAGCCTGATTGTTTTATATACGAGGGTAAATCAAATATGAACCGGATTTTTGTTTTAGTAATGTAACCGATATAAGGCAGATTGGGACAAGTGTGACTTAGCCCACTCTGGTTTCCAAAAGTTTTACCATTTCCAACTTTGACATGCTCCTTAACATATTATATATATATATATATATATATATATGTACTAGGCAGCAGCGGTGGCCGCAGTAGTAGACTCTTCGGTCTCCTGATCAGTCACCGTGCGCTGTGCGGGTTCGAGTCCCGTCCCAGGAGAAATTTTTCTCTTGGCTATGGATGTTGTGATTGTCCGTAGGTGGTAGACCGTCTCTGACTGTCGAACGCGGAGGTACCACCCGGCGAATCTCGTAGGCGGAGCCAGAGTGTGTGCATGTTGCATGCACACGTGTTCCCTCTCCAGAGTACGTGTAGCGTTCCCCCTTTCGCATGTATCCCCCTATAGCCCCACGGTACCCAATGGGTGCTTAGGCCTTAGGCCTTCGTGGTAGTTGGAGTATATATATAAAAAATAATGTACGTGTATAACCTTGGAATACATGAACGGGGAGAAGATGAAAATTGGGTCATGCATCAGGAGGCACAGTGATGCCTGAGGTGGTCAGGACCGTAATTTCAAGCAATGTCTTTTTTGGCTCAAACTCTTAGCCGATTCAGAAGGTCTGGAAACTATTGATCACAAGTTTTGGTCTCATAGAACATCATGCAAAAAAGCATCAGGTACGTGCCAGAAGACTGATACGAAACAATAAAAAAATGCAGACCCAGGAAACACTCTTACGTCTACAAATTGCAAAGGGCTGATTTCTTCTAATCAACATCAGAGCAATCTGTGATAAGACGAAAACATATAATAACGCCTCTGTACCAAGGCTCCGCATCCAATGGCCTCACTTTGAGAAAAAAAGAGTCTTACAAAATTTCCCATTTGACGTTACCAATGTGCAGCAATATCGTAAAGGCGCATCCAAAAACTTCAAAAATATAAACTTACCTTTATTGTATGACTTCCCCCATCCTGACAAACATGAACTATATTGGACCGCTCTCTGCTAATGAAGAAGAAGAAAAAGACTAACGAATTTTAAAAAATTCCATCAAGACGTCGTGTCAGTTAATAGACTTTTAGCTTTTTTGTGTGGAAGAGATACGTTTATTTTTTTTTTGCTGTAGAATGATTTTATAAGATTGCCAATAAACATACTATTGTGTAACTCGATTTTTAAGTAACACATGAAACCAAAGATAAATACTGTTTTAAGGCAAAGTGGGCTCAAAATTGAACACAAGAAAAAAGATACGTGAACACAAAATGTTCCTGTATTTTACGATTAGATACTCAAATTCATACTTCAATTGATACTTTCTTTAACGGAATTTTGATTTATCACTGCAGTTTTGTCATTCTGGATTTACCAGCAGCATCTAAACTTAAGTACCTTATATTTCGGAAAGGTTTTATTTACTAGGACCATCCTGACATCCTCACTCCATTCACCTATGGCACGTTGAACAGAAAAGTCCTGTTCATCGTTGCTTGACCGTCGTAGATTGGTACCAAAAACAAGACACTCAACGAAATGTATTTATTTTGCCTTGCCACTGACCCGTTGACCCTGTTCCTTCAAATTAGGGTGACATGAGATTCATCTCCAAAGAGTTTCTATCATGTAGCGTCAAATACAGCCATACAAACAAATTCAACGCTGCCTAAATCACATATCAAACTGATTTGATCCATTGCAATAAGCCGATCCTGATTGTCAGAAATTCTTACTAATAATAATAATAATTTATTCATCCTGTGGATCACAAAGTGATATAGGACAAGTCAACAGAATATTTGTATCGAAAGCATAAATAATATTCAAAATATCAAATAAAAAAACACGAGGGTATACACATGAAAACGAATTAAAATGGCAACAAATTAACAAATTGAAATTAAACAAAACATTAAAACTATTAAAAAAGACTATCACACATTAAACACTCTTCTATATAGTAGAAAGCTTTATTATAGAACTGCTAGTAGCGTAAAAAACTATGTGAAGCATTGATCATATCTATACTAAATTATTGTAATATCGTATACTATACTTGCTTAGACAATTTCACTAAAAACATTATTCAAGTTACTCAAAACAATTGTATACGTTTCATCTTTGGCTTACGTAAGTTTGATCATGTATCAGCGAAATATCCTAAACTGGTTAAAAATTAATGACATGGTCAAGTATCACTATTAAGTTTTTGTTCACAAATTGCTGCTCACGTCTAAACCTTATTACTTGACGGAAAAAATGTCATATAATAATGATGTTCACTGTAGAACTCTCAGAGAAAATAATATTGGAATACCCCTGCATACGTCTACACTTTTTAAACGCAGTTTTTCTTACAATGTTGCTATTATTTATAATGACCTTCATAAAGTATATAAAGAATTTTCATTACCTGTATTTGGACACAAAAAGTTAAAACATTATTACTCAACCCTCCAAACATATAATTTAAGTAATCACTCATTTCTTATTCCGTCTTTAATTCAGATTAATAATTTTTTGGTATACTTGGGTTTGGAAAGTATGCCTTTTTCTCTTTTTTTAATTTTTACTTTCGATGTAATGAACCAAATCTGTTTGTGGATAGTGGATTCTTTTGAACATCTGCTAGAGACTATATGGTTAAGTGTAAGAGTAGCACCATGCTAAACTTCGCCATGTAAGTCTGACATTTGGCTATACTACAATGTAATTGTGGATAAATAAAGACGTTATTATTATTATTATTATTAAAATTGTCCAGGTTTGTTTTGACATAAATCAATATATTTAATATGTATACTGAAGACAGCATTGATATCTTCAAAGCTGTGGATAGTTCCATGCAACTAAAGCGCCTTGCCACCTTTGCAATAGTTCTTATAGCTCTTTTTTGTCTATTATAAAAAACCTTTGTAACTTAAAGGATGCTCCCCACGCTTCTATTTCATAAGCCAGAGTAAAATGTTTATGTGCATGGTAAAACATTAACAATGTTCACTTATCAACGATAAAACTTAGCTGGTACATGCAAATGTTGAAATGTTTTTGATGCGATATGGCATAAACCTGCTATCAAGTTTTTTAAAGGTTTTTGAGCTTAATATGAAAAAACAACTGGTAGTATGGTGATCTCGGAAAATCAGCATGGTTTTATTAATGGTAAAAGTACAGCCCTTGATAAAAAACAACACATTTGCGATCTTCTCTCGCGCTTTGGATTATATTGGTCATGAGCTGCTGCTGTATAAGTTGTGCAGATATGGAGTTCGGGGATTGTCGTTACAACTTCTATACTGGCCCCGCCTACGAGTTCCGCCGGGTGGTACCACCGCGTTCGACAGTCAGAGACCGTCTACCACCTACGGATAATTATAACATCCATAGCAAAGAGAAAAATTCTCTTGGGACAGGATTTTTGGAAATACGAATCAATAGTTTGCATCTTTGCGTCTAGGTGGCGGTGCAAGCGCTCGGCAGCAACCCTCCCAAAGAGGTGGATGAGAACGATTTTATTGACGCCTCACGTCTGGTGTACGATGGTGTAAGGGAAATAAGAAGGGCGGTGCTGATGAATAGGGCTGATGAAGATCTGGATCCTGAAGACGTTGAGCTGGACGAGAACTACACGTTGGAGACTAGGAGCAAGTCGAGTGCGCACACTGGCGAACACGGTAATACTAGATGATATTGAAGTAATCTAATAGTGTCGCGCGTTTATTTCTACAGGGGGGGGTTTCATAACTACATGGTGACGCATACATTTTTTTGAATGGAAAGCCCTACATTTCGTTGCAAATTTGGATAAGACCTTTCAAATGAAGCAATTTGGTTTAACATACTATCAGATTTTATTTTCAGATTGCTTAGATATTGGACAGTCTATCGAAAACAAAAAACACTCAACAACAAACTCGCACCTCCTCAACTCTAAACCCATAGAACTGAATTTTTCGTTAGAAAAAATATGATCCCATATTTTGTTCCTATCTATTTACTTTGTCAGTTTTTGGATAGTTTATAGTAGTCAAGAAGCCAATATTAACTATTCCGCAATAGAATTCTCAAATAGAACACCCTGTATATTTTCACACTTTTTGATTTCCCTTTTCTTATTTTTTTGTGATATAAGGTTTATGGGGTTTTTAAGTAGCTAAAAACGTAGGGACATATTTTGACTTTTCGACTTTATTGCATGAGGCTAGGGTAGATTCAATTTATAATAAAAAGACGGTAATTACGATCTTCCGCTGCCAACAATGCTATTTTTTTTTAGTTTGTAAGGTATTGTAATATTGTTGATTCGCCTTGATATCTTGTCAAGGGAATTGAGGATTTTTTTAGAAACCTTTTAATTTGTGTTCTTGACCACTTTGTATAAACTGTTAAAAAAAAAATGAAAAAGTAAGTGAATAGGAACAAAATATGGCATCAGAAAAATGTTTTAACGAAAAATTCAGCACTCTAGCTATAACAGGTGTGGAGGTGCGAGTTGTCAAAGTTCAGAGTTTTTTTCGATAGATTGTCAAATATTTCAACAATTTGGAAATAGAACCCTATTATACGAGTACTATGTCATATCAAACAGCTTCGTTTGAAAGGTTGAGCCCAAATCTGTAATAAAATTAAATGCTTTCAATTTAAAAAAATGTATGTTTGGATCACTACATAGTTATGAATCACCCAATAGAGATAAAACTGTTTTCCAAGTAAGAATCATACTGTTGGCTACCATTTTTTTGTATCCAACTTTTTTTCAGATACTATGCGCAATAACAGAGTCCGACACTAAAAAGTCGCCATGTATGTGTGGCACTATTTTAGTGATTTCTAAATTTGCTTTTATTACATTGAACAGATCTTCTTGCTTGCGGACTCCCGATGCATCTTTTAAATATTGATCAGAATGAGGAAATAAACATTTTCTAGCAGGGTACGTTTCATTTCCACGCCTTTATTACGTAGAAACGGCAATCTGCAACCGGATGTCAAATGCGAAATGTACATTAGGTTCTACACTGCTCGCATGTCGCCATCTATTACCCGTTTTACATCAACAATTTCGTCACGAATTTATTCAGATGGATTTTTTCAATCCTTGCTAGAAATATTTTAAGCTTTTATGTCTATTGTGGTTTTGATTTTGAGGCGAAGTTTATAAACAGAGACCATATTGTTGAATACTGTATTTCTATCAAAGTTCTATACTTGAATTGAAAAGTTGTTCAATATAGTAGAAAGGAAACCAAGGTTGGAACCATGGAATTTGGCGTCCAACTTGACAAAAATTAGAACAAGTTCTAAGAACTTCATGGATTTATTTGACGTAAAATTCCTGCTTTACTTTTTTGAAATTTGGCCATGAAATCAATTCATGAAGAAATCCGTGGATTTATTATCAATGTAAAACGGGTATACGAAGGAATACGCGGCACCGTTTTGTTGTTATTTTGGCGAAACACCGTAACCCTCATTGCATGCTCGTAAGAAGGTGTTGTTTACATTGCTCCCAATGCTTTGGCGTTGACAGGTGTGGACGAATACCCGGACATCAGCGGCATAACAACAGCTAGAGAGGCCATGGGCAAGATGCCTGAAGAAGACAAACAGAAGATCCTCCAACAGGTGGAGTTCTTCCGCTCGGAGAAGCTGAAGTTCGACCGCGAGGTAGCCAAATGGGATGACACAGGTAACGACATCATCGTGCTGGCCAAGCACATGTGCATGATCATGATGGAGATGACGGATTTCACCAGAGGGCGTGGACCGCTCAAGACCACCATGGACGTTATCAATGCGGCTAAGAAGATTTCAGAAGCAGGTACGATTGTGATAATCTTCATACAGGGTGTCCAAGAAGACGACGTCAAGCCGGAAATGGCGGATAGGCCAAGTCATAATAGTTATAAGAAAAATATAAAAAAGTCTAGGTTGTGTTCTTTTTAAATTATAGGCTTTAAAAAATATCTAAAAAATCCCTGTGAGGATCTTTCAGTTCCCATTACTACAAATTTCAATTTTTTCTTAAACAGAGTGACGGACAGTGTCATTCTGCGTATTGACAGCAAGACAGATAGTAACACCACTTTCATTAATTCGTGGGTGTATTTATTAAATTCACAATAAATGTTCAAACTACATTCCTTCAGTAACATTGCAAGCTTGACATCTTAAAAATGATCATTCATTTCCATGATTTTCCCCGGATATCCAATGGTGACCTTGGATCTGACCTTAACTATGATGACCCTCAAGGTCGTATGAAATTCAATCAAAAGTCGCTTTTGAAGTCAGGGAACAATCTTGAAATTTCAGTGAACTCAGTTCATCTGGGGATTACATAGTTTTATGAACGATCAAGAAATTAAGGTAAACTTGTGTTTGACCGTCAAGGTCAAGTTCAAGGACAAATTCCAATGATGGTCAAGGACATATTTGAACATATTTTTTTTCCTTTTCTCCATTTCCGCGATCAAAAGTATAGGATCCCATTAAAAGAGAGATCATCAAATGACCTTGGAAGTCATGGCCAAGGTCAGATCCACGGTCACCATTGGATATCCGGGAAAATCATGAAAATAATGTCTCGATAGTTTCCCTATATGACTACAGTTAAATCACCGTACCTGGGTTTGACCTTGGAGAAGGTCAAAATTTGAGAAGGGTCAAATCATATTTGAATTTACAATTTTCCGCTCTTTTCATTTACGGGGTCGAAAAATCAACTTGACCTTCAAATTACCTTGAAGACCATGTTCAAGGTCACCATTAGATAGCTGGGGAAAACTATCAATCATTGTATGGATAGAAACCAAATATTTTTCAAAAATGTACTTGTTTCTATCAATCATCATCAATATTTTTTCTCAACAGGCACAAAGTTGGACAAACTAACCCGCCAAATCGCCGAACAATGCCCAGAAAGCTCCACCAAGAAAGACTTGCTGGCCTACCTCCAGCGCATCGCGCTGTACTGTCACCAGATGAACATAACCTCCAAAGTAAAAGCGGATGTGCAAAACATCAGCGGCGAGCTCATAGTGTCCGGCTTGGACAGCGCCACCTCCCTGATCCAAGCTGCAAAGAACCTGATGAACGCCGTAGTGCTGACGGTGAAGGCGTCGTACGTGGCCTCCACCAAGTACCCGCGTCAAGGTCAAGTCGCGTCGCCGATCGTCGTGTGGAAGATGAAAGCGCCCGAAAAGAAACCGCTCGTCAGGCCGGAAAAACCGGAAGAAGTACGTGCCAAAGTGAGGAAAGGATCGCAGAAGAAGGTCCAGAATCCGATACATGCGCTGTCCGAGTTCCAGAGTCCTACTGAGGCTGTTTAAGTGCGTATATGGAGTTTTTACGTATTTTTAGTTTATGGCTTGTCGGCCAGTTATGATGATGAATACAAAAGCGTGAATACGGTTTTGTTTTCTAGTTACTAATGATTTTTGGACATAAGTTTGGTTTCATCAAAATTTCAAACAATGGGGCATTCTTTACCTAGACAAAACTGCATACATTTTTCAATGTGATTATACCGGTTTTTTGCTCGAGATTTGGCAAAAATCGTATATTATTTTCGTGCTCTATGCAACTCATTCAAATCTGAAATTCCCAAATCATTCAGCAAAAATAATTTGATTTTTATTTAGAATATGGTCATATATTTTATGTCAAATTGACTTCAAGATTACATATAATTTACAGAGAAATCCATGCACCATGTACACTGACGTCGTAATGTGGACGAGAGGGAGCATGCAATACATCTGGAGAAAGAGATAGAAGCACCACGTTGCACGCTTCTCTCCCACACACATTTCCTCGTCAGTGATATTTGGATTTCTCTGTATATTCAATTTTTCTTCATAGTACTTCAACTGTGACGTATCAGTAGAATGTCGTATTAAGAGGGGAGATTATTATATGGTCGTATTTCGTCATTGCTCTTATTACCGATTCATATTTTCTAATAATGCTTCTGTATGATTTATTACATTTCTCTGTGTGCTTCGTGTATTTTTTTGTTATTTATATACTTTAAAAATGAACATTCATCTGTGTATGGTGTAAATAGGGGCATGTTTACCCTAGGGCAATGAGAGCCACGGACCTGGGTGGCAACTAAAGCTGCCTCAATTAAGTTTCTGTTTGCCTGATAAAATACCGCATTCCTAACTTTGCTTCTGAATGTCCAAGGCGCCGATCATTTGTGTGTGAGGCCTAAATCCCGCAAAAGGTTTCTAAGACGTTCAGCATTTGTATTTATCATCAGACTTGGTAGACATTCCAATGAACATATCCATTATATATTATTACAAATATTTTTTCCGTCGGCCGGTTTTACCAGGGTCATGAGTAGGGATGCACCGAGTACTCGGTTTGTACCCGGTACTTGGTCCATTTTACCGAGTACCCGGTTTCGCTGAGTACGAAATTACTCGGTCTGGTCGCAAGACACACAACTTGAGTGAACCAAAGAATTGCAGATGTGATATACGAACTCTGAGCTGATATCTCTTTCACTAACCTCCAAGACATTAACCATCAAAAAAATCTATGGTTACAGCATATTTTTCCCAAAATCAACTGCATAATTTAGATAATTTGGTAAATATAGACTTCTCACTTCTCCAGTAGGCTAGTGTATTTGTGTTGCTTATTTTTTATACACGACGTGTTGCTACTACATGTTTTTTTAAACTGAAACCGCATTATAGTATTGGCTCTTTACATTTTTTTTTTTTCGTATGAACACTCGAAAAACACAAAAACCACAAAATGAAACAATGCAGTAAAGGCGAAAAGTAACGTGAATAACGAAGTAAGCTGCGTTTCTGCAAATCTTCACTCATATAAGGATAAATTCAGGTTTGGTCTTTCTCAAATCTGAATTGGTGCAGCCACGACAGCCAGCAGTTTTTATTTGTTTTTTTATGACCTTCTTAAGGCAGCTTAAAAATCAGGACTTAATAGTGTTCGCGATTCTATAAAGTAATTTTTCGAAAATTGATTAGCTTGGCACCTTACAAATGCTTCTTCCTTAATAAGAGGAATTGCAAAATATATCAAAAATAAATGTTCCAAAAGTGTAGTGGCAGAATATTGTTTTAATTTTAACTCGATGTTGTATCTGCTGAATTTCACTGTGAGAAACATACGCCTAGCTGTTGAAAGACTCATATATGTTTGAAAAAATAAAACTTCTGAAAACACCGCAAATACACTAACCTGCGACGATTTACTAACAAAAACCTATCTAAGTTCCACACCAGTGGTGCGTTTTCTTGGGAATAAAGGGTCCTTTCAAAAACGCAAATATAATCTTGATATCACTAAGGCCTGGTTTTTCATTCGCTGGTTAACTTTCAAGTTTTGTAACTTAACTATTAGTTGTCGATAAATTCGTTTTTCAATCTCTGGTTAACTAACACGTTACGGTTGTTATGGCGACGCTTCCTCTATATCTGAAATATCGTGTTTTGTGACGGTCGATGTTTGTGTGTCGCGACATCTGTCACTGTCAAGCAAAACATGTTAGGAATTGCGGTGTAAGTACATCTTTATAGTTAACTATTAGATGGTCTTCGGGTTAAAGTTAACTACCGATTTACGATAAACCTGACATCCATTTTAAGAGTTAACCTGCAATTGAAAAACCAGTAGCTGAAATAAGCCGGAGCAAATCACTCCACCGAGTACCGGGTACTTGAATCTGATAGAGTACCCGGTACTCGGTGTTTTGGAAAAAGTAGTACTCGGAGCATCCCTGGTTATGGGTGACGTGTTTGGCGAGATCATGGAGCCCATATACCAGGAGAAGGTACGGCAATGCTGTAAAATGACTCCGAAATTTGACGCATAGAGTACCAGTGATGCTTTCTCAGGGTTGCCATGTTGAGGAATTTTCCTTCAACTGAGGGAAGTCAAACGTTTCGCGGGTAGAAAGCATCCCCCCCGTTCTTTGAACCAAACCTACCCCTTTCCATTAATTAATCACTGCGTCCCCAATCAGGCGTCAAATTCTGGAGACGTTTTTTTCGCATTTTACCGGTTCTCCTGGTATATATGGGCGAGATCTTGATTCAAGGATAGACATGGTAGCAAAAATTATGACTCGATGTCCTCTTCATGTCCAGAGGAAAAGTGAAGAAAGCTTGATTTTAACACGTACCAGGGGCTCAATTGTTGAAAACGAGGGAGTATAGACAGTGTTCTGTTTGTTGAATAAATTTGTCAATGCATCCATTTTCGGCGAAATAAAATAATATATTCGATTCATTAAAAGGTTAATTTCGTATTTCGGCGACGAGATTTCTGCACTTGTCCTCCTGAGAATGAGCCAGGGAGCGACTCTTCTATTATTGTTAATGAATAGTTCCTCAAAAGGTAAAAAGAACGCCCAATTTCGTTTGAACGATGATCCCCTGATAAATACTACAGTGCTTGGTTGCTACTCTCAATGTTCCTAAACATAAATTGTAACGCTTTCGATGATACAGGACTAGAAATAGATGGTAACTTGGCCGAATATTTATTATTAGACAAGGCGCTGGAAGACGTTAAATTTGCAAATTGTGAAGGCCGTACTTGAACCGATATCAACTGAGAAGAGGTCAAAGAATAATATCCGGATCTGGATGACCGCGTGGTCCAGTTTTTAATCCTCTCCTTTGTTCCATTTTCTTTCAACCCTCTCCCCCTCAAAAATAAAGGAAAATGCGGGAGTACATGCTTTGGGGCGATTTGAATGGCTATTTTAATGTATTTTTTTTTCAATTAAAGGGATAATAGGTTGTTAAATGAGGCAAAAAACAAGCATTGTTAAAAACAGTAGTTTTGGTTCTTCTGGTCTGCAATGACCCCCTATCACAACCTTTTCATTACTTTTGGGACGCTCTGTATATTTAAACAAAATTACTGCTATAAACAAAACAGTTTCTGCTTCAATTTAATGAAGGCGGTACAGTCTGTGAAAATGGTTGGAACAAAAACAAGTCTCTGGGCAAGATCCGGATTATTATTCTTCGACCTCTTCTCAGTTGGTGTCTGTTCATCTAGTTCATAAAGTGAGATCCTCACGTTTTTTCAAATACAATTCCTTCCAGCAACTGCTCTGTATGTTAGATCTTCAGGGTCGGAAATAATCTTTCTGGACAGTAGGAAAACCTTCAACATGCGTTTTATAAAAAGAATTTTAGTGCTCAAAAATATTTGAATGATCCCGTGTGATTGACATAAAAAATCGATTTTTATGCTTTACCGTTTATAATGAGCTATTATTTTTTAAGCTGTCCAGTTAATTTTTACACTATAAGTATGCTTATATTTTTTGCCAAGGAATATATGTAAGATTATGGTTTATTTTTTATTTGATTTTTGATAGGTTAAGAAGTCAATGAAGTCTACAGGAATCTTTATCCCTTTAGCTTTTGTGATAACTTTATATGTGGTAGTATGTAAAATTGGTGTTTTTTCAATGACAAATATAGTTGTATTGAAAATCAGTGTTTTTTTTAACCTGCCATTCTAACAAAGCAGAAAAGTGAGAACAAATTGTCGAAAATAACTACAAATAATTTTAGGTGGAGTTTCAGAAATTTTTCATGCTTAAGAAAATCATAATTGAAGACACGAATGGATGAAGGTGCTATTTAACATTTTTCTAAAAACCGTTATTTCACTATGGCTCCATTAAAATTTCGAGATCCATAACAGAAGTCTTGATTTTTTAATGTGTGACACACATAATCCCTTCATCTACTCTCTGGCCATTTTGTTTTACTCCTTTAGTCGGTATTGTGCGGGCGTATTGTGTAACAGTAATATTGTAATATTAATGCAAGTTAACATTCAAAATGGGCTCCAAATTTTAAAGCTAGTGCAGGAACAAAAAAAGCTGTGAAGACATAATGTCAGTTACCAATATAAAATAAGTTATTTCTGATCCTCCTCACCTATCATGCTGTACAGAAAAAAATTGCCAAGGCAAAAGTTGCAGGATTGAATTTTGTGGCCTGTGATAACACTTTTCAAAGAACCGCCATCTATGGAGTGGTAGCCCAACTGAAACAAATGTTTTTTTCTGTCTAGTTGAAAATGCCCAGAATTAGTTTAATGAATAAAAAATATATTCGGCTACGCTCCAATAGATGGCGCCGTATACAGGGTGACTTTGAAGTTGAGTCATTAATTTTCAGATAATGATTGTAGAAGGAAGATAAACCAAAATATGTGTGTAAAAATAAAAAAAAATGTTACCTTGTTTTATAAAGTATCCTCCCGACAAGTATTTCAGTGCGGACCTGTATTTGATCGTGAGGTCTTGGAGCACCGGCATGCCGTCCATATGTGAGGTCTTAAGTCAAATGATTCACGAACCCGTTGTACTACATGAAGAAAGGCACGAGGGGTTGGTTGCACTCGATTGGGAAACCGATCCGCATAAACATGTGCCATTTTTTATTTCGTTTGAGCCACGCAACAGACACCACTATCCACTACCGACTGACACTGACTGTATACAACTGAATGAAATAATTGTAAAAACATCGTTCCAAATTCTTTCGCTTTTTTGTTTCCGATGCGATGAACCGATAAGGCGAATTATATCCGTTGTCGCCAAACATGAGCACATAATATTATTATTGAGACAAGGCGGTACTCAAACTTCCAAAGGGCTATAACTTTGTTACTTTAATTATACCAGAAAAATGGTAAAGGAAAAAAACATTTCTTTTTGTTAAAATAAATGACTCAACTTCGAAGTCACCCTGTATAGGTAGCCACAACAAAGTCCACAGTTTTGAATGACTATCTTGGGCTGCTGAAATCTGTTCAGTAAGCTCCAATGCTTGCCACGAGGAAGACGATTTGTTTTTGAGCAAAGTTCAAAGTTAGATATAATAAACTAATCAAAACAAAATAGTCTTTTCATAAAAAATTGGGGAATTTTTAAACCCCATCACGGAAATTTAAGTTTCTTGATCTTTGAAGGTGCGTTGCCAAAATAATTTGTCATTAAACTGTTATTGCATCATATTAAGCAAAAATAATTTGTCGTTTTTCCGTTTTGTTAGCTGGTTAGGTATGATTTTCTTTAATAGAGCACTCCATAAAAGCGTCGTTTTAATATATATATATACATAGTCATGCCATAAGTTCTGTCCCTCGTTTTCAAACAAGTGTAGACCTGTTAATACTTGTCCGATTGTTTACATTGTGGTGTCAGTTGATTAAGCGCTTTTCGGGTAATTACATATACCTCAGTTTGTATTAATCTCTCGAAGCATAACGATGGAGTGGGGCAAGGCAGAGAACCGTATTGCAGTGATAGCTTTACATAAGTGTAATCACAGTGCTAGTCAGATTTTTGAACTCTTACGCGGCCTTCAAATATCGCGTAAATTTGTGTCTAGGACCATTCAGCGGTACAATGAGACGTCCTCTGTTGATGACAGGCCAAGAAGCGGAAGACCTCGTCAAGTAAGGACTCCAGCAGCCATCAAAGCCGTAAAAGCCAGGATTCAAAGGAATCCACTCCGGAAGCAGAAGATCCTATCCAGGGAAATGAAGATTCCTGTCCGGACGATGTCGCGCATCATTAAACAAGACCTAGGGCTAGGGGCTTACCGGAGACGTACGGGCCATCGACTTACGGCCACCTTGCGACACATCAGGGCGACAAGATCCAAGAAGCTCTTGGAGAGGTACGCAGCTGGGGGATTCCGAAAGATTTTGTTCACGGATGAGAAAATCTTTACCATAGAAGAAAAATTCAACCGACAAAATGACAAAGTGTATGCAAGGAGTTCACAGGAAGCTTCGGAGATTATTCCGAGAGTTGAGAGAGGCCACCACCCTGCGTCAATCATGGTTTGGTGGGGGGTGTCCTATGAAGGGGTCACTCAGCTCCATTTCTGTAAACAGGGCGTGAAAACAAAAGCAGCAAACTATCAGAGCGACATACTGGATCCTATCGTCATGCCTTTAAGTGGTACATTGTTTGCCAACCAACGCTGGGTCTACCAGCAGGATTCCGCCCCCGCTCACAAGGCTAAGAGTACGCAGCGCTGGCTGGAAAGCAATGTGCCAGAGTTCATTGCTGCGGAAGATTGGCCCTCAGGGAGTCCGGACCTCAATCCTTTAGACTACAAGTTGTGGGACCTGCTAGAGCAGTTGGCCTGCTCCAAAGCCCACCGTAATATCGAGTCCCTGAAAGCGGATTTGATCCGATCAGCGGCAGCTATTCCTTTGGAAGCTGTGCGTGCAGTGATAGATGAGTGGCCCGCGAGATTGAAGCAGTGTGTGAAGGCCAAGGGGGGACATTTTGAATAAAACTGTTTGATTATGAATTCTAAAAATGTCGAATAAATAATATCTTTCATATAAATATATCTTATCTTGTTTCATTTTTATCATGAGATTATCATGGGACAGAACTTATGGCACGACTACGTATAAAAACCCCAACTTTGCGGACACCCTGTATATATATATATATATATATAGAATTTTGCAGTGGATGAAGGTGTTATGTAGGTACTGTTTTTTTCAAATTTTGTGGACATATTTGTTTGTTAATTTTTTGCGTAAATAAAATATTCCATACATTAGTAACGAAAACGAGAAGTTTCTATCTAATAAAAGTACATGTGAGAAAAGTTTACAATGAAAAACTTTAAACCCAATTTTCTCGAAATCTGGATTTTGTAACATAGCACACCTTCATCCACTCTTCAATTATCAATGCAGCACTGATGCTTCCATCTATTGCTATATTGTCAAAGTAGGGTGAATGTCCCAGTACTACCAGTAGTCAGCTGAATCTTATTTGTAAAAACTTGAATATTTGATATCCTATAATTGCTGGTAATTGGTACCAGATTGACCAACTAATTTGTGACAGTTTACGAAAATTTAACATCCACAGTTGATTGATTGATTGATAACACCAAGAGCGTCAAAAATAACATGCATTCGATTCCTCAATTTTTGTCATTTGTGTAGTGAGGGACAAACTTTAAAGGCAAATAAATGAATCGTCCGCCAATATATAAAATGCTCTTTCTGTTACATACGCAGGAAAAATTCAAAAGTCACGAAATAAATTATGTTCTTTCAATATCTTTGAGGTCAAATTGGAGTGGCGGCTGAGTGGATCATGACACTAGTTAAAATCCATCAAACTACTGGAATTGTGTTATCAAACTTTTCTAACCAGACTATCAAACTTCTTTCTTAAGAATTAAACAAACCAAAATAAGACTAAAGCCCCAGCTAGTGGATGGCAGCAAAAGATAAATAATGTAGCAGTGATATTGTTTCAAACTACTGGAATGACAATAAATTTTATAGCATCCCAATATCTGGCCACTTCTAGGACTAAGGAACAAAATTTCACATTTTTACTTCATTCGGGAGTGGACACAAGAAAAAAATCCATATATATATATAGGGTGTTTCAAATTCGACACTTACCATTGGGCTGTCGGAAACTGTAACAGATACGAAGTCGCTTTAATGGTGATAAAGTTGCGTATTCGCCCAAAATGAAAAAAGCTGTTTTCAAGCAAAAACCATGGGTTACTCAGCCTAATCATGTATTGTGGAGTTCTAGAGCTCATCGTGAGCGATAATAATACCTACATAAATTTAAAAAGAAATTACTACAAAAAAAGATATTTGAAGAAGAATGACTTGGGAGTTATACTGTTCTTTCACTCAACTGAAGAAAAAATGCTTGAAACTAATTTCCTAACTTTATTGATTAATACTTAACAAACTTATATAGTCATTTTCATTCACAATCTTCAGTTTTTATTTTCCAAGAAACAATATGGTAGTAAAACTCAAGAGATTCATCAGAAAAGTGACGTAAACGTTTCTTTAAGTCAGCTGTTTTCTTCGAGTTAATGGGAACAACTTCTGAGTATGCATTTCATTTACGTAAATGTGGACAAGGGCGGCTGGCCCCGTAAGTTCTGCAGAACTGCCAAAAAGCAGTAGTGATTTGATCATTATTTATTTTCCATGTTATCACACAAATAGAAACAATACCGGCCTGCCTCCGCAAGACACGGCGTCGAATCTGTTTTGTACCAAGAAAGCATTATAATCGACCAATTGTGTATTTGTCATTTTCGTCGCGACCGCAGCGTAACATTATTCATGGGCCACTTGAAAAGGGTCTGTGCACTACTTCGACACAAGCCGCACGCGCAATGCGCGATTTAAGCATAACCATGTGCTGCAATTTATACAGATCCGTACAGATCTAATGGGAAGTACGATATCTGATTGGTCGGTCGGTGCTCGGCCATTGACATAGTGGTCTTGTCGCGACACGTGGCTTAAAATTTGAATGCTAACAATTTTTTATTTAGGTATTTTGGGTCTTACGTTGAGTGACTAGTGACTCACTGACTGACTGTGGCTGTGTAGAAGGGTAGTGCAAGACAATGGATGTGGTTTACAGACTTATCAGCGTGAAACGAATCTGAAAACACACATTTGAAGAAAAAATTGAGCTGAAGGTGTCAGGTCGACCGCTGCCGGACATATTTATAGAAACACAGGGCGTTAGTCGGGGCAAGGGCTATACGCGGCATTTCAGCAGGTAGATTTACACCAGAAATGACTGGATTTGTGGGTGCAACAGGAAGAATGCCCTTTTCTGCTTTCCTTGCATACT